GACGCGGCGTGTTCGCATGGGTGGTGGCGACGTTTCCGGCGTGCAGGCAGCGTAGCGGTGCTGTGACTGGGAGGCCGCGTGGCCGAGAGGGTGGGAAGGTTTCTTCATCCCACCCTACTCCTGACTCCTTTTGTGGCCGTAGGCGAGGAATGATGTGGAATTGAGTCTCCTCGTGTCACATGAAGACATGTCCTCATTCCTGCCAATCAGGGTGGTAACCAGCAGTGTGATGAGTGCCAGGGAATGAGTTAATTTCCGAAAAAATGAGATTTTGGTTGCTTGGACCTTTTAATCTCATAAAATTTATTTTACAATTTATTTTACTTTTGAAAGCATTACCTCTGGTGATTCTCTTACTGACAAATTAATGTAAAACACATTCTTTTCCTGCCATTTGGGGGGGAAATCTGTACTAATATGTGTATATTGAATATATAGATATATTAAAAAATTACAACTTATGTAGATTGCTAGGGGGTTGATACTGGAAAGAAGACAAGAATTCAGAGTATTTTTTAAGTTTGACTTAATTTTGGACTAATAGTATTTCAGATATGAAAGTGATTCATGTAGTATTTGAAAAATGGCTCTCATCTCATTGGGAAGAATTATAAATGTACATCTATTTCTTTAACAGTTTTGATTCTTTAATGCTTTTTAATCTGGAAGCTTGAGTACTCAGTATTTCAGGAAGTGAGACTTGAAACTTCCATGGGGTTTAGGTACATAATAATTAGTCGTGTACATTACTAACTAGTTAGAGGCTTTTGAATGCAATTCCATTGCAAAATTTTATTCTAAATTTGTATACAAAGAGGTTCTGATCTATAATGTTTCTAAACATACTTCTAAACATGTTAACGTAAAAAAATGAATCTTTTACATATTTTAATTGGTTCCCTGTAAGCTTTCCCTTAATTTTTAAAAAACTTGAAATTTTATAGGCAGTTGACAGACTTTTAGATAAGTTGTCATTTTAGATAAATTATGATGAGATAAAGGTGTGTTCATCCAAACAGATTTTTAAGTAATTAAGAAAGAATGCTTTCAGGAAAACTTTCTTTGTTACTTGAAGAATACTTGCTGCTAATATCAAGGATGGGACATTTTACTTATAAAAATGAGGTAGAACATGTGAAAAAGTTATTAGGCAACAGAAAATTTAACTTTTATCTTCACTGTCAAATATCAAAAAACTGTACCTGTTGTGTTTAGAAAAAATTTTCAAATGATCATTTGACTTTTTTTTTGCCTTGCTATATAGCCCAGTATCCTAGACCTTCTTTATATGTTAAAAGCTGCTTGGAATAGCAACAGTCCCTTTTTTTAGTTTATTGCAGTATATTCTTAGATGAAGGAGGTTTTTTTTTTTTTTTTTTTTTTTGCCAGTAAAACATTTTAAAATGGTTATTGATTGAAAGAACCTTTACCTTTTTATTTTTTATTTTTTTTTGAATGGAATGATTTGGACATGACCTGATGAGAGTATTGTTTGCTACCATAGTCCCTAGATTTAATCGGCGTTTTCGTGAACTGTGTACACACTCTGGGGTAAAGAAACATACTACAGAATGGAAACCTGGGTTATTTGGGGATTTGTATATACTCTGCACAGTTGCCCTTTTTTTTAGGAGTGTTTCCTGGAAAAGAGGGGCGGATGAACCTGGAAGTAAGTAAAAGTCGTTCTAGGTGTGTAGCGACAAGGCAGTTGGTCCCCAAGCGTCAGCTAACTTTTCTCTCAGTACATCAACACTGCATGGCCTGCCCCACATAAGGAACTGAACCAGGGGTATGTTTTTACCTCCACGGCTGCCTCATTCCATCAGAGCACTTGGTTGAACTTAATGTCTAGTCACATAGCTCATTGGCATGTTTTCTCCCTTAGCATATAATTTACAAGCTGGGGGAAAATAACGTACAGTTTTACCATTGTGAAAAAAGTAAAAAAATTTGGTATTATCAGTACAGAAAAATGATTAATGCAAACTTTTTCCAGATTTACCAAAATTTACCCACTCTGTTGATAAGTTAATGACTTCTCTGTATTTGCCAGAGAACGTAGACCTAATTTTAATCACAAGGGGCGCTAAACAACTTGGAGATGTTACATTGTAACACCTTTCAGTGGCCATGGACTTCAGCAGAGTCTGTTGTGAGCATACGGGCGCCCTCCGGGCATCGCATGTCTCTTCCCAAGAGAAGAACGTTGACCAGTGACCATGCTAATGTATATACTTGTGAACCTTATGACATTAAGTGCTTGGCTGCTTTGATGGAAATTATGGTTCAGTGGGTTGGATACAAGAGAGATGACTGTTCACAGAATAACCTGTGAACTTTCACCCCTCTGTATGGAAACTTGTTTCAGGGCCAAATCCTTGTAGCTGTCTTCTTGCCCCGGTCAGTGCCAGCCCTACTATTCACAACACTGCTGCTACCGAGGCCTAGGTATGTAAACGTTTAAGGAGTTTTTTAAAAGTCTTTTAACATCAAGCTAGGTTTTAAAGGAATTCAAATTCACTTTGGTAAAATTACAGGGTATTTTATGTGATTGTCTTCCATTTCTTACCGTGTAAATTGATTTTAAAGAGCTATCTTTTTTGCCTCATAGGGATTTTCTCAGTGAAATACTTATACTTGCTTTACGGTAGAATGGGGAAGAAAACTTTGGGTGATAACAGTATCCTTCGTCAGTGTCCAAACTATTTCTAAATGATTTCTGGGTTTTATTTATTAACTAGGTACTCCTGGGACAATTAATGACTGTTTTAACATTGCCTTCTTTTTATTTTGCAAGCTAAGAAGAGATACCAGTGAACCTAAATAGTGGACGAAAACAGGAGTGTTCTAATGTATTTTTTTGGAGGGGGCACAAGGGCCACTGTTTTAAAACTGCCTTTTTTTTTTTTTTTTTTTTTTTTGCGTTATTTGACTTTCCAAATACTATTATGTTAATGTGGAGACAATTAGAACATACACACTACAGTATGTATAAGTATTTGAATTTAATTGCTATAACAGATCTAGAAATAAGATTTTTTAAAAAAAGTTACACTGAGTTTATAGTCTAATTCTAACTGTAAAATGGGGACATTTTACCTTTCTTTCTTTGGATAGGATCAGTTCCTAAGAGCAGCCCCGGTAACTGGAGGAATGGGAGCCGTTCTAATGAGAAAAATGGGCTGGAGAGAAGGAGAAGGATTAGGAAAAAACAAAGAAGGAAATAAGGAACCTATCCTAGTTGATTTTAAGACCGACCGAAAAGGTAACACTTTTTTGGGGAACTGTTTATTCTACCTCCTTTAACATGCAGAAGTGTCCAACCTTTTGGTATCTCTGGTTCACGCATTAAATACACAAACAGTAACGAAAGCTGATGAGCAAAAAGAAGGTTTTGGTAAATGAAAGAGTTTGTGTTGGGCCACAGGCAGACACCCCAGATAGAGTGTCAGCCCTGCGTGCGTTCTCTCGAGGTCTGCAGTCTGAGTTGGAGGCGCTTCGCTCTGTAGCTCTTGGTTAGTGGGGGGGCAGAGCCTAATAACCTGTTTTCAGCAGCTCATATAAATATAGATGGACACAAATGAAAATAATGAGCTTCAAAAAGTCAACCTTCGTTATGTCACTTGTTAAATATTACAGAACTGCCTATATCTATGATTTAAAATCTATTTAGAAAGTGGCCGTTTTGTTTTCTCTTAACAGGAAATATATTCTTTATTTCTGCAGGTTTTTTTTTTTCCTTGACAAAAAAATTTTATCCCATGTGTTCTCTTTATTGTTGGAGAGCTGCTTGTCACCACATTACAGACCCTCTTCCAGCTCAGTGATCGAGTCCTTTGGGCTGGGGAGCAGGCCAGCTGCCCTTAGTGTTACCTCTTCCTAGGGCCCCAAGTTCAGGGCACCTGGGACCTTTATTTTTGCTTAATATTTGCCTCTGTCCTTACATACCTGGGGTCTTGTGTAGCCTGTATGTAGTTACTAAGCATTAAAGGTGCACTTGGAGTAACATAGATAACAGCCCGCTTGTATCTTTTAAAAATAATTTTTTCCCTTAGGATAATGTCCTAAGTATAATCACATGGGAATACCAGCTCAGTGTGATGAGTGAAGCTTGTTTAAGCCTGCATTTTAAAACTGGAATTTATTTTCCTTATCTTTGTAATCACAGAGATAATTGCATAACTTATTCTGTCTTAATGACTGTAGAAACTGAATAGCTCTGACGAAACTTTTTCTAAAATTTGTTTTGCATCAGAATTTCTACATCGTCCTCCATATAGAATACCATATTGGCGGTTTATTTCAAATCGGAGGGAATATATTGTGATGATACTCAAAAATATTCTGGGCATAACAGAATCATCTTAATGATATAACATTAATTCAAACGAGATTATATTAGAAAAGAACATTACACTAATTATGTCTCATTGATATTTTATTGCTTGTACACACTGAATAGATTCTGTGTGTCATAAGAAGGTGATTTATGGAGAGAAAACACCTGTTGGATGCATTGCACGATTGAGGGAGCAGTCTCTGGAATTGAAACATGGGCTGAGTTTGGGAAAGCATACTAGCCGAATGAGATATTGGGGAAACATTGATTTTTAGGTAGTAACATAGCTAAACCATTTTGGAAAGGGAGGTTATGCAGTGATGGTGTGGTTGTCTTTTGAGAACATCTCACATGTCGGTAAGTCAGGACGGGCTTCCATTTACCCATAGAGACAGCGATTCTCACTTGTGGGTGTGACCTAAAATTCCCACCTTTTGAGGAATATACTACTAAATTGAACGTTTTTAAAGGAATGGGCAGCCCTTAGAAATCACTTGCAATAAGTAGCCACTACTTTTTAAACTTCAAAAGAAACATCTGGAGTTGTTAATTATGGCACTTAATTAATATATGTATTCATGCAGTAAATGCTTTTGTTTTTTGAACACTTTATTTTTATGTCATTTCCAGAAGTATCAAGGTATATGAATATATAGATTGACATGTTGAAACAGCAAAATAGAAGTCCGGATGATGAATAGAGAAGAAACAAGGGTGGGGGGGGGATGTGTTGAGTGTTAAGATTTTAGGGCATGGGGTGTGGTTCCTACATAAGAAATGGTGGTTTTGTTGTACTACATTGTAGTTGATGGTGATCTTGGAAATACATTTAGTGAAAGTTTACTTCTTTTTAAAGGTCTTGTGGCTGTAGGGGAGAGAGCGCAGAAGAGGTCCGGGAACTTCTCTGCAGCGATGAAAGACCTGTCAGGTGAGGGGTCCTGCACTTCTGCTTGCCTGCCAGCACCTTGAATTCATCATGTGTCGCCACGGGCGGCGGAAGTGTAACTACTGACTGGTTCTTGTTCTCTGCAGGCAAACACCCTGTGTCTGCCCTGATGGAGATCTGCAATAAGAGAAGGTGGCAGCCACCTGAATTCCTTTTGGTCCACGACAGTGGCCCTGATCATCGCAAGCATTTTCTCTTTAGGGTAAATATGAATTTCTGCATTAATTGTATACATTTATTTAATTGGATGAGTTTAATGTTAGAGGGTTAGGGATAAGTAAATGATCAGAGGATGGATGTAGTTTGTGGGTTGGGAGTGGTGGGGTTTTTAGAAACACTGAAGTATGCTTTTTAATATGACCCTTTAAAATTCTATTTTAAAAATGTTGAAGGGGGACGATGTGGGCAAAATCTTGTGGACATGGGGAACTGAGTGGTCTTACCAGGTTTTTTTTAAAAATTTGGAGCCCTGCTTTTAATTTGCAGTCCCTTTTCCCAAATGATTTGCTTTTTCTGGGTTGCGATTAATTAGACTTGTTACATAGTATGGGTTTTAGATTTTAAATTATTTTTCTAGCATTTAGTGAAAAAATAAAAAGCTAATAGATATTAAAGTTTGATGCTGTTCTTATTGTATGTTTTTCTTGAATAGGTATTGAGAAATGGAAGCCCTTACCAGCCCAATTGTATGTTTTTCTTGAATAGGTATTGATAAATGGAAGCGCTTACCAGCCCAGCTTTGCCAGCCCTAATAAGAAGCATGCTAAAGCCACAGCAGCTACTGTGGTTCTTCAAGCAATGGGCCTTTTACCAAAGGACCTCATGGCTAATGCCACTTGCTTCAGGAGTGCCTCACGTAGATAGATTGAGGTTTTATATTAATCACTTCAGATAATTTTACTCTGCATCAAAATGTATTTCCTCTTTAATGTTGTAAATATTTGGCAATTTAAACATTGTGTAAAAAGCAATCTGTACAAACATCTCCAGGCTTTGATTTTTGTACCATGGAAATTGTATTTAACCATACAGGGTTTTGGTATGTTTATATTGTTTACCTTAGTGATGTATTTGTTTAAGTGGCTAACATCCAAACAATTGTTTGAAGGCATCCGTAATCTGTGTGGAATGTTAAATTACGCTTTTATACTGTATTTTGTACTATGATGTAACTCCCCTTCCTCTGGCTAGGCTGCTGTAACACTTGCCTGTAATCAGTGAAGGGCTGTGCACCTTGTACTAGTTCACAATGGGTTCTGCTGGACAGATACTGGGGCCAGTGTTATTGAGGTGATAAGCAAGATCTGTTCCACAGGGCTAAAGCCACCGTCTCCCCTTAAAATTTTGTAGAAGTTATAAAAACAAAGTGGTATGTTGTGTGATAATCAGCACTAAGTCCTGCGTTCCTGTAAAAGCCACTTGGGCCGTGAGAAGGGAGTCAAAATGAAGTCCGCTAGAATTCTACTGCAGAGGCCAAGTACATGTAGTATGGCATTGAGTTGTGACATAGTTTTCTTTTGATGTGCATTTTGAATTTCAGCTACACCTAGATAGACGTAAAATGATAATTAAAATGCTGTAACCAACTTATCTAATAAAATTGGCACCCAGCCACTATTTTGTTGACTATGAGAAAGTTTAAGTTTACGTTGATTTTTAGGGTCTGATAGAGTATTTCATGTGTATTACAGTGGTATTCATATGCTATGTCTCTATTTTCAAAAGCTCAAGGCCCAAAATATAAACTTCTCTGGAACAAATGTGGTGTTTTGTTTTCTGCATTATGAAGTGAACACATATGTCTTCACTAAATACTGTTGTTTCTTTACCCAATGCTTTTGATTTCTAAGCATTTTTATTTAAGAAAATGAACTATACACACACAAATACCTAAAAGAACATTAAATACTACTTTGCCATGACAGCTGGGCATAGTTTACAACTCAACACTATTCTATAAGGAATACAAAATAGCCTTACCTGAATGAACATGCAGTAAAAAATAAAACATATGTGAAAGTAGAGGGATTATAAATCTGAAAAAAAGCAACCAAGCCAGAGTCGTCAACAACCAGCTCGGTAAACACTCTACATTTCATTTGGTGTCTCCCTTTACACATTAGCGCCTGCTCACGATCCTAGGTCCACTGTTAAATACAGTTTTGCCCAGATGCTAAGAATTCAATGATACTAAGTTCTCCATTTCCCATTTGAAAGGAAACACTGACATGGATTCAGTTTTCTAGTCGGTTCATAATTGGGCCATAGGGATCTTGAGTTCTCATTCAAGTTACCCGAGGTTTTTAAAAACAGCTTTCATATCTGAACACCTAATCAAAACCAGCAAAAACAATGATTTAAAACCTTCACTCCTACTCCTTAGTGCATGAAATACATGTTCATGTAAAAGCTTAATGTTTGTAAACATTTGAGTACTGTACGTTCCTTTTAACTTCCAAAGTGAAGTTTAAAAGCCAAAGGTACAAGAATCTTGAATTTCCTTGCCAGAAAGAAGGCTTTTCCTCACAGATTCCTTTTAAGGCTTACTTTGGTGTTCAGGATCTCCAACTGTAAGTGTAGTCACTCATTTCCACATTCCGCAAGGCTGACTTCCCCAGGGTTGGCGTCTGACTGAGTTGGTCCAGAGTCTTAGGGTGCAACCCGCAGTGAGCGAGCTCCTTGTGGACAGTCCCCTGTGGGAATGTGGACGCAAGTCAGTAAAGAGCACACCAGTCCCTTTCAAGTTTCAAATAATCACCTCAGGGACGCGGACACTAGTGCCTTGTTCCTAGTCACCCATGGAAGTGGACTGAGAATATTTGCGCTCAGTGACAACTCCCCAATAAAAACCTAGGCATGTCCCAAATGAAAGGCCGTGTGGTTAAACACACACACCAATTTATAACAAAGGAATCACATGCTATGAAGTTCTGCATCTAAGACAAAATAACTTGCCCTTTTTGGAAGTTTAGTTGCTTGTGAACAGCAGCCTGAATTCATAAAATTTACCTCACAGGAACACTTTAGTAATTTTAACTGAAAGTAAGTACAGCTTAGGAACTTGAAACAAAGTTTGGCTCATCATAAATCCCTCCCTCCATCCCTCCCTCCATCCCTTGGAGGACCCTGGCTGGAGCCAGGACAGTCCCTTTGCCACTGCCTACATACCTTCTCCGGCACTTTATCCGCGGGAGGGCAGATGTTAAACACGGCAGTGGGCTCGTGTGTGCACAGCCCTGCAGAAAACGAGCCGCTCTGCGAGGCCCGGAGGAGCATGGTCACGGCGTGGAGAGCGTGCGGCATGACAGGGCCTGAGATCTCCAGGCTAAACTGATCTTTGTACCCAGAAACAGCTTGTGTCTTCACGTTTACACTTCGCGCCTTCCAACACATTTAAGGAAAAAGGAAATTATATAGTCATCTCCCAAGTTTTTGTCCCGAGCTAACAATGTGTTCGCATCCTGTCCTCCAGTTCATGAGATTGTCAGTTTTAAGTTCACTCTAGAAAATACAATTTTTTTTTCACATGGTAGTCAATGATTCACTAATACACTTGTAATACAAAATACTGAGAAAACAAAAAATTGATTCTAATGCTATTAGCGTTCAGTATGTATGTTGTATTTATACATAATTTTTTACAGATACACACAGCACAGATACACAGGCACACCTTGGATGCTGTGGGTTTGGTCCCAGGCCACCGCAATAGAGCAAGCTGTAATCTTTTTGCTGGTGGAGGGTGTCTTGCCTTCAATTTGTAAAAAATGCAAAACCTAGAAAGTGCAATAAAATGAGATATGCCTGTACAGTTATTCATTTATCCATGTTCCAGTTTTTGAGATCTACAATTTAACATTTGTGGCTCTGTTCCCTCTTTGGTTAAGAAATGAGACAAAAATAGAATAAGCAACTTATGGCCAAAAAAGGAGATTAACACCAAAATGCTTTTGTTGCCAATTATAATTAATACAAAATTATTTTTACACTATTCATACATTTTCATGTAACTCCTTTGCTATAACTTCACATCAAAGAATTAACTGGGAGAAAAGGAAAAACAAAATATGCGCCAGGTAAAAATTCTAGGAGTTATGAAAACCAAATTTCAAGAATTTATTCTATCAAGAAAGGTAAAGACTTTTTAAGAAGCCAGGTTACTTCTGGTCAAGCCGGCAGAGTAGAGGGCCGTGCTCACCTCCTCCCTCCACCGCATCAGAATGACAGCTGGGCTTCAGAAGCACGGTCCCTCCAGAGCTGCCTGACACCCAGCAGAACGGAGGTCCCACAGCTAGGGAATCAAAGCAGCAGCCACAGCGACTGGCAGGAGAGGTGGAGCTGAACAGGCAGGTCCCACACCCATGTGTGGCGGATACAAACTGGGAGGCTCATCTCCAATGCAGAGATGCCCCCTGCAGAGCAAGCCCCCCCCTCCCACGCCCGCCCCCGCCCCGGGTTCCAGGGCTGAAAGAAGTCCCTATCACTTCTGGCTGTGAAATGCAGTGGGAACTGTGCCTGAGTGGGACAGGGGCTGGGGGCTGCTGCAGTCCCAGGTGTTGCCCTTAAAGGGCCGGCACATAGGTTTACTGGCTCACGGCCTCACTTGCCCTGAGGTCTAGCGCTGCAGTGGCAGCTTGAAACGCAGCCGGGACATGCGGGGAGGAACTGAACAGGTCCAGCTCAGGTACGGCTTCTGGGCGAGGGCTGGAGGGGCAGCTGTCTCTCAGACAGAAGTGCTGGTGGAAGCCACTGTTCCTTTGCTGGCCCCACAGAGCCTGTAGGCGCAGGCGGGCACCAGGTCTGAGTCCCATCAACCTGGCTCACAAGGTTCACCCTGCCCTGGTGATTCCTGAGACCTGCCCCACCCAGGCTGCTTCCAGCAGCTTTTCCATACAAATGGCCTGTCTCAGTTATCACTGCGAACTTTTCCAAAAATTTCTCAAGAGATTCACAAATCTCAAGCAAGCAGTACTTGGCCAGCCTTGATTTGTAGCCTGGCCTTTCCGCAGCGCCTCCAAGCCCAGTACTAGAGGCAGCTGCCCACAGGTCACTGTGTGACTCACACCAGGTGGGCCTGGGCAGGGCGCAGGCAGCGGCTGGCCTTGGCTTGCACCAGGGTCCCTCCCAAGAGACCCCAGAACCAATGCACCAACCGTGTGGCCAGCTGCAGACCACACCAGGGCACCACCTGAGCACCTCTGGGAACACCGTACCCAAGAGCAGACTGGGCGGCCACCGGGGCCCCGCCGTTCTCCATGGGGTTGGCCTTGCACAGCGGCGCCTCTGCTGGGGTCAGGGCCATCCCTCCCTGCCCACCAGCCTACAGGGTGGCCCCCTATTTACATGCCGGCAGCAGTCAAGGCCCAGTCACAACAGGGTGGTGCGCACACCAGGCGGGCTGGGAAGGGGGCCCCTGGTGCACCCAGCTCCTGCAACTTAGGGAGACTGGGCCACTGGGACCCACGAGACTCCTGTTCCATGGGCAACTCTACTAAGCTCAGGAGATGTAGCAGCTCTACCTAAAACGCAGAAACACACACAGGGTGACTGCCAAAAAGAGGAGACAAAGGAACACAGCCCAAATGAAAAAACAACAAAACTCCAGAAAAAGAGCTAAAAATGGAGACAGGCCATCTATGGATTATAAGAAAGATAAATGAACTAGTCAAAAATGAAGGATACAATGACTGAAATTAAAATACATTAAGGGGAATTAACAGATTAAATGAAGCAGAGGATCCAATCAACAATTTGGAAGATAAAAAATGAGAACATACCCAATCAGAACAGTAAAAAAAGAGAGAGGGAATAAAAACAAATGAGCATAGTTTAAAGAGCCTCTGGGACAATTTCAAGTGTATCAACATTCAAATCATAGGGGCACCAGAAGGAAGAGAGTAAGGAATTGAAAACCTATTTGAAATATGATGGAAAACTTCCCTAACCTGGTGAAGGAAACAGACATGCAAGTCCAGGAAGCACAGAGAGTCCCAAACAAGATGAACCCAAAGAGGCCCACACCAAGACACATCATAATTAAAATGCCAAAGGTAAAAATAAAGGGAGAATCTTTAAAGCTGCAAGAGAAAAGCAGAGAGTTACCTACAAAGGATTTCCCATAAGACGGTCAGCTGATTTCTCAACACAAATTTTGTAGGCAATAAGGGACTGCCAAAAATATTCAAAGTGATGAAGAGCAAGGACCTACAACCCAGATTACTCTACCCAGCAAAGCTATCATTCAAAATTGAAGGGCAGGTAAAGAACTTCCCAGACAAGTAAAGCTAAAGGAGTTCATCATTACCAAACCAGTATTAAAAGAAATGTTAAAGATCTTCTTTAAGAAGAAAAATTTAAAAATATGAATAAAATGGCAATAACTATACCTATCAAAAATGACTTTAAATGTAAATAAACGGATTAAATACTCCAATTGAAAGACACAGGGAGCTGAATGGATAAGAATTCAAATCCACCCTGGCTGGAGTGGCTCAGTGGATTGAGCACCGGCCTGAGAACCAAAGGGTCACCTGTTTGATTCCGTCACGGCACATGCTTGGGTTGCCAGCCAGGTCCCCAGTGGGGGGCGCATGAGAGGCAAACACACATTGATGTTTCTCTTTCTCCTTCCCTTCCCCTGTGCCTAAAAATAAGCCTTAAAAATAAAAATTCAAGATCCTTACATATGCTGCCTACAAGAGACACTTCAGATCAAGACACACACACACACACACAGACTGATATTGAAGGGATGGAAAAAGATACTTCACGCAAGTGGAAATTAAAAAGAGCTGGGGTAGTAATACTCGTATCAGGCAAAACAGACTTTAAAACAAAAGCTGTAACAAGAGACAAAGAAGGACCCAGCAATTCCACTTCTAAGTATTTATTGAAAGAAACACAAAACACTAATTCAGAAAGGCACGTGCATCTCTGAGATCACTGCAGCATTAAAAAGAGCCAAGATATCAAAGTAACCTAAGCGCCCGTCGAAAGATGAATGGATACACATGTGGTGCGGTGCATGTATACAATGGAATTATTCAGCCATTAGAAAGAGTGCAATCCTGCCATTTGCAAGAACACGGACGGACCTAGAAGGTATTATGCTCAGTGAAATCAGACAGATAAATACCATCTGATTTAACTTATATGTGGCATCTAAAAAACCCCCACAAAACCCCAAAATAAAGAAACAAAACAGAACCAAACTCACAGATACAGAAAACAAACTGTTGGCTGCCAGATGGGAGAGGGGTTAGAGGACAGGTCAAAGTGGGGAAGGGATTAGGAAGTGCAAACTGCCAGCTGTAAAGTCATGGGGATGTAAAGTACACCACAGGGGACCCAGTCAATAATACTGTATGTCTAGATGGGTATTAGACTTACTGGGGTGATCGCTCCCTGGGATATGCATACATGTCTAATTACTATGCTTTACACCTGAAACTATATAACATTGTATGTCAACCTCAATTGAAAAATACAAAGTTATTTTTAAAAAAGGAGCTGGGCTATGAGGGTCAGTGTAGAATTTCTTCCTTTTCTTTCTCCCTTTATTACCTTAAGCATTTGCATTGTGGCACCTCGGAAAGCGATCGGTGATAAGAGGGTTGGTGGAAGTCCTGCCTGTGGACCTGAGGCAGCAATTAAACTCTTACAGTTCATCAGAAAGTTCAGCAACATGAAGGTGTTTGCTCCCTTCACCAACACGACAGACTCTGGCCTGTGATCCATCTGTACTTCATGCTTCTCTTTACGCCTGAAGACGAGAATCAAGGAAACTGCAAACGTGAAGCCCTGCTGACGGGGGAGGCAGTTATCTTGATTCTCAGTCAGCTCGGCCTCTTTTCCCCATTCCAGACTGGAAATGCTCTGGCTACTCAGTTTCACTGCAACTGTAAGACATCTGTTTAAATCAAAATGACTTCTCTTTAATCTGATAATTTGCTAGAAACTGACATCTAACACAACTTTCTTACCTAGTCAAAAATATGCCCTGTTCCCCTTGCAAATGTAACCAAAATAAAATTTTTTAACTTTTTAAAATATAGCTTCATAACTCTCCATAGTTCATTGGTACTTAGGGATTAGTTATTTAGTGTTATGAGGGAGAGTTAGTTTGAATTATGATTTTAAGATAAATTAAGATTACGGTCAAATAAAACTGCCAATGAAAATTACACACCTCACTACCTTCATTCAATAAAAATCAATTCTACTTAACAGCAAATGAAAGGATACAACTTGATAGAGAGTATGTCTGGTTTTTTAATTTTATCTTGTACACCCATCTCTTCCAGCCAGGAAAAACTTTCTTCTTCATCCTCATCACTGATTGCTTGTTCCCTAAAAAATTACTATAGTTAGAGTTCCCATTCCATAAAGCTGTGTGCTCTACAAAACTATGCATTGCGATGATTAAGTCACTGGGTGATAGAGGTTATTTTAAGCACATACTCCCCGTGTCCCAAGCTCGTTCCAGATGCTTTCTTCTCATCGCCATTTTCTTTTATTAAAGGCAGAGAAAATTCAATACCTACATGAGAAAAGAAAAAGGTAACTGAATTTTCTTCACTATAATTTAAAAGAAAGTAACAGATATATGCTACTTTTAGAGTATGAGATTTGAAAATGTGAGTCTTTACACTAGATGAATTAAGGCAGTAGCTTTCCAGCTTTAACTTTTTATTTTTCAATTACAGTTTACAGTCAATATTATTTTGTATTAGCAGCCCACAACGCACCCATACACACCCCTTTCTCCTTGATGTTCAGGAAATAACACTGCCTTCCCACTACATGTGGTATTTTCATAAAGCAGATTCTAATCTATTTCATTTTTTAAATAACTGCTGATTGAACCCACTAAATAGATCTTATGACCCATTCACAGGCTGACTCAGCTTGGAAATTATCATTAAAAAGGGGTAGGTAATTCTATTATAAAGGAATTTCTAGAGGAGTATATTCAGACAAGGACCTTCCGACCCAGTATGTGTTTAGAGGTCAGTAAAGGGAACCCCACTAACTTAAAAGCTATGTATAAAAAATGGCTTAAATAATTATTAAAACAAGAATCACAAAGGCATAAAATATTTCTTAAAATAATATAGGTAAAACTAGGACAAGACAATTCAACTGATAAAAGGTATTTTCAGCTTTCAAGAACAGTGTTTGGGTGTAGTGTGGCATTCTCACTGTACCCTAAAGCTTTACCTTCAGTTTTCATAGCTTCTCTTACGCCTCTGGTTGTAGGAGACATGAGAGCCGTGATTACATCATTCCCTGCTAACCCGGCTGCACGGAAGAGGATAGTAAACTGGTAGGTGCAAACGTAGAAATAGGGGCAAAGTTTTGTTTTCAGGAGATTATATAGAGAAGTGAAGCTCACGGACCTATGAAGCAAAAACATTTCTTCAGGTAATTAAACATTTAACTCCACAGCTAAAATTCAATATTGTAAAATTCAGTTTGATACTCATTCCGACACAAGTCAAATATAATAGCTAATGCCTTTAATTTTTACCATTACATACAATTCGGCTTTTGAAGAACTAAAACTGGTCATGTGACCACCAATAATTTCTAAATACTCAAATAGTGTTCACTACTTAAACACTAACCATTTTTTCTTTAATAAAATTTAATTGATAACTTGTCGATAAATTTCTTTGAGCAGCCTCTGCAGAGAATATTATAGAATTGTTTATGTACATTTATCAAACACTTAAATACTTTTTACAGTTGCATAAAGAGTGAATAGGAGCTGAAAAGTAAATAATTTAAATGTTGGTTATTAACAGTTTCAATAGTCTTTCAGAAGGACATGGAGATCCTTCTACCAGTAAACATTTCCACATCATAAATAAATAAGAAGAGAATACTGCCAAAATGAAAATTCACCACTGGGTTGCACAAACTTTTAGAACTCTTACCAGTCACTCATTAAAATGTGTTGCAGGGCTTCATCATTTGACCAAGGGCTTGTCTTTCCCGACATTTTCCTGTCGGCTCCAATGCGAGGGAACAGCGGCAGCCAGGGGAAGGCGGGGTGCAGCCAATAGATAAGGCTCTGCTGGAAAGCACAGCGAAGCTCCGTGGAAAGTTTGGGATCCTGAAATCCAGAAACATTGGGCAGGGTTCTCCCCATTAGAAGCATAAAGTTTCATTAAAAAGACACTGAATACACCAAACACTTATCTTTACCGTTTCCTACAGGAAAGTGTTAGTAAGTGTTAGAGGGTCTAAGATGCAGTTTATTTTTCACTGGGAAGACCGTTCTTGCCAGCAATTCCAGCCTGTCAGACCAGGCACCAGGAGGAGCACTTACAGATGGGAACACTCTCCTGCTCCAGCCGCCCTGGAGAACAGCGACCGTCTGTTCCATCAGGAGGGCGGGGTGCACACAGGAGGGCGGGGTGCATGCGCCTGTGTGTGGCTAACACGGCATTCGCCCCTCTTCCCCTCACAACACCGTTTGAAAAGTGGCCAGTAAACACTGGTAATTCGAATACCAAATCATCCCGATTGATTTATTGAAAACAATGTACTAATGTCTCTTTTAGGTAATCCCTTTTAACCTAGTTTGAGTTAATGAGCTGCTTGAAAGTAATGCTATTCTCTAAAAACATTCTAGAACTCATTAACTTTAGTAAATTTACAACAGACATCATTCAGTTAGTAAGCATTAGTGCATTTTAAACAAGAGAGTATTCATTAGATGAGAAAATCGGTAAAATAGCTTTCATTTCTTTCCTTATATTTTCTTTGTCAAAAGACCTTAAAAAAGAATGGTTTAGTTGAAACTATGCCTTCCTACAACACTGACCATTTGTCAGGACGGGTCTCTAAATTTAACAGGCAGGTACTGAATCTGATTAAAAACTATATAAAAGCATCATTTGGGAAATACAAAATACCCAAGTCTCTGTGTCTATAAATGTCAGAAGAAAACTTAATGGAAGGAAACGTTTCTGCTGTTTTGCAGAGGAGCAAGCCTTACACTCTCTCCGCACTTGCACCCACGCGCCTCCCACGAGAGCTACCTGTCCGCTCGGAGGCAGAGCTGCTTCTGCGGCTCTGCAGTGCTGGGCGATGCCCTGCGCCTCCTCCTGGGCTTTGAAGTGATCTGCCCAGGTGAAGGGTTGAGAAGAGGTGAAAAGGAGTCGAGTTTTAATGCTCCAGTCTGCAGGTAACTCTGTACTTTCTGAGGGTGGAGTATCAGATTCGGAGAATGATCTGTGTGAAGTCTTTTAGAAACAAACACAGAAATTAGTAGAGAACCAAGGAACAAACCTTTCACCTACAGATTTTATTAATATACACACGATCATCGAAATGTCAAAACTTTAGAAAAATGTGCAATAAATAACATAAGACACACCATGGAAAGGTCTGGAAAGTGAGCTACCTAAGACGGCTCCCTGCAGTCACCTGCGAAGAGGGAATCCGGGAGGCGCTGGCGGCAACGCCCATTCCACTTTCAGGGGACACAGTTCCGTGCAGGTTAGTTACAAGAGGCCTGTGCTATTCTCATCACCGTGATTAAAGAAATAGAAACTATTACTAATGCTGCTGTCGAAGCAGAAATAAAAAGCCCAGGTATGGAGAAGACACCCTTCGGCCCTGGCTGGTGCGGCTCAGCGGACGGAGCGCCGGCCTGCGACGCTAAGGGCCACCGGTTCAAGCCCCAGTCGGGAACGTGCCTGGGGTGCAGGCCAGGTCCCCGGCGGGGGACGTGCACGAGGGGCAACCACACACGGATGCTTCTCTCCCTCTTCCTCCCTTCCCCTCTCTCTAAAAATAAATAAATAAAATCTTTAAAAAATAAAACCCACCCTTTAAGCCACAAAGACTCTGAAACCAGCGCTAGGCTGCCCCCGCAGGGAACTCAGGAAGGGCTACTGTGAACGCGGTCCACAACATTCTCCACACGTTTTCAGGTGACAGCGCGGAACGCGAAGCACAGGGAAGGGGGGCATTTCCGGCGGAGCCCGCGAGGGGAGCCCGGGCCGGCGGGGGCGCGACCGCTCGCCCGGGCTCCCGGCGGCACGTGTGTCTGTGGTGCGCGGAGGGACATCTCGCGACGCTGAAGAAGTATTACCTGGGTGAATTCGGTAACGGCTGTTCCCTCAGGAAACTGCTCTTCCCGGAGCAAATCATTTTCTTGATCGGAATCTGAAAACTGAGGTTACAGGAGCGACCTCGCTAAGTCCTGCGGCTCGTTCGTTCGCTCGCCCGCTCGCAGCCGCGCCCGGAGACCCTCGCCCCGCCGTGCAAGCGCAGGGCCGCACGCGCCCACATCAACCACCGGCGATGAGCTGCCTCCTGCGAGCGGCTTCGGTAACGGAGGGGCCCCGCTCGCAGGCTTTGCGGGGAGGCCGATGCTGGCACCCGCGGAGCCCCGGGCTGTGGCTGCGGCCTCGCCATCGGCGGGGACACGGCGGCCGCCCGGGGTGGAGAGGGCTGCTCCAGGCTTTCGTCTCCAGCCCTGAGAGGGCGGCTGCCCCGCCCGGGCCCCTCGCGCGGCGCCGCGCCCCGCGCCCGTCTCCCTCCTCGAGCACGACCGCTGCCTCCCCATTCTCTGGCCGCGCAGTTGTCGCCCGCGGGCGCCCACACTCACCGGGCCCGGCGCCTGCTGCGGGCCGCGGGGCGGCACGTCGGGGGTCTCCGCAGCGGCCTGCGGCCGGTTGTCCAGGCGGGCGAAGGGGTTCCTCCCGGCCGGGCCCGGGCCGCCGCCGCCTCTGCCCGCCGCCGCCGGGAAGGGGCGCAGAGGCAGCCCGGCCGCTAGGACGGCGCGGCGGGGTTCCGGCTCGGGTCGCTCCCCGGCGGAGAGGTCAGCGCCGAGGCTCCGGACCCTTTTCCGTCGCAGCCGCAAGGTCTCGGGCGGCTTTTTGAAACTGGGCGAGTAGCCGGGCACCGAAAACGCCATGACGCGCGGCGGCGACAGAGTTGCGGGCACCTCACGGCCGCTTCCCGCGCGCGCCGGCCCCGCCCCCTCCGCGTCCCCGCCTCCGTGGCGCCGCGCCTGCGCCGTAGGCTGCCTGCCAGGCCCCGCCCCGGCTGCGCACGCGCGCGCCGCTCCCCGGCCGCCGCCGGGCGTAGGCTGCTGCCGGGAGTTTGGTCGCTGGCGGGTCCCCGGATGCTAAGGATCCGGGAAGTCGCGAACCAGGGTACCGGTCGGCACTCCTCTGTTGGACAGCAGGGGTATGATGAACGGTGCACGGCGCCTGGATGAAAAGGAACCGTCAGAGGGCAGAGGCGACCGGACCTGGCGAGGACCCCGGGGTGCCCTGCTCCCTCAGATGGACGGCGACGGGAACCCGCGCCGCAGCCCCCCGCGCGCGCGCGCCGCACAGCCTCTGCCGAGTCGCTGCCACGCTCCTGTTGGATCCCGAGGAACCCCTCAAGCCAACAAATATATGAAAAACATTTCAAGTGTCTATTGGCTACATCCTTTGAGATTTGCACATTTATGATTAAGTGGCGTCAGCACCCGTTTGCCGAGGAAGGAAGGTGTTGCGAATGGAGTTGACACAGGTTACTTTGGCGAACCAAAGACTAACAGCTTTATCAATGGGGAAGCGTGACTTCTGCTGAAAGGGTTCTTCATGGACAGACTTTTATATCGGAGGCAAATATATAAACACAGGAACGAAAAATGCTTCCAGATCTTCCCTTTAGGTGTTACTTGTGGACTTGTCTTGGCTGTTTGTCCAGGAATTTTCAAATACTTTTGAAGTATTTGAAATAACTGAGCATCTTGTCTCAGCCAGCAGGAAAACATGCTCTAAAATGGAACACTTGCTTTCATCTTCCTTGATTTTTTTGAACAATTTCCAAGGAAACTGGCTTCAAGCACTGGAATAGATTCCTCCAACTGAGGTCTGGGAAAGAACAAAATTAAAATTGCACAACTAGCTTTTTTCTTCCCTGATTTTTCTGAACAACTTCCATGGAGACTTTCGCCTCATGTAGTGGAATGGGCTCCTCCAAGCGCGGCCTGAGGAAAAATGAAATTATCCAATGAGTCGAGCACACAGGGATGGTAGTATACGTCAATTGTTTTACAAACGTGTCCATTAGTATGTCCACCGGTAGAAATGGTTACGTTTTTAAGGGGAAAACACCTGCTTGACCCACTCCCTCTTTTTTGATAAACATCCAAACATGGTGCTTCTCCCTCTCCTCCAGCTGCAGCCACTTCTGGTTGCTGGGGCGCAGCCGCCGCTTCTGCCTGAGAGGACACTCACTGGTGTATCACAACACATACTCAGAGTGTTGGGGAGCAGCTACATACACCAAACAGTAAAATACAACACGGAGGCAATCGGAGTGCTGTGAAAGCTGAAACAAACGCCAGCCTGTCTCCTGGAGAACAGAAGAATACTCAAAACCAGTGGTCAGGTAATGCAGCGTACCTGAAAACGCCAGCTGCTAACTTCTCCATCACATCTTTTAGGATACGTAGCTGGAAGGACAGTTAAGGTGGCAATGTAAAAGAGGATAAATAAAAACCAGTCAGCAGGAGATGCTAGGCCGGTCACTTTTCTTCTTCTTTAACACTATCAAAAATTCAAAATGTAAGTTAGAGAAACTCTGTACGCTGGCAAGTTTCTCTCTGAAGGAGGGAAATGGGGGACTGCTCCGAGAGGGGGTAACAGTAGAGCCTGAACTCCTGAGGGCAAGTGATGAGGGAGCAAGCCCAGTGCCTGTCCCCAGTAAGGCCTGGTCTTCTCCCAGGTGGACGGCAATGGGATGGCACTGGAGTTCCACTTCAGCACTGCCCATGCTACTTTTAGTTAAAAAAAACATTTTAGCACTTACATCTCTTACTTTGGGTGCACGTTTATTTACTAAATGGCTATAGACTCAAAATTTGTGTGCAGTAAAGTTAATAAGCTGTGTCTGTGATGTATGTCACTAAAAATCAGAAAACCATAAAATTTTTAAAAATCCAGTCATTTAATCGAAACTCTAATGTTAGAACAGAGTCCATGTAACTGCTAGTACTAGAAAACTGTTTACGGCACACGACCCCACGAGCGGAAGGAGACCTCTCGGTCAATCACAAGCAGTAAGTGGCTCCCATGGGAACCAATTGAGGGGGCTTGCGCAAGTGAGGACTGAAGTTTGACTGAGGACTTGAGAAATGTAAACTAGAAAATATGAACATAAGGACCTAAAGAATATTGATCCACTTATTGATACTGTAAATTCTCTACTTCTGTTAATGAAATTGCCGACAGTATGTGTCATGTATATTTCTGATTTTTGAAAATTTAACATTTCACTTAAACAAGTCATGTTTCAACATGGCCTATGGGTTTGTTAAATATGTTAAAATCATCTTTGGTGGGGAAGGAGGGGCAGTTCAGAGAATTAAGTAACATAGGCAAAGCAGCCAGGCTATTTTCTGACATGTAAGATTGAAAACATGCTGTGGCTTTTTTTCCCCCCTTTAATCCTCTCCCAGGCAGACACTGGTTAATCCTAGTAAGAGAGGAAGGAATGAAGCGGGTGGAGGGAGAGAGAGAGAGAGACCTTGACTAGTTGCCTCCTGTATGTGCCCCCACCAGGGATCAAACCTGCGACTTAGGCATGTGCCCTGACCGGCAATTGAACCCACAACCTTTTGGTGTATGGGACGACGCTCCAGGCAACTGGACCACCCGGCCAGGGCAACCTGCTATTACTTTTAATAAATGATGTTCCCTTAATATGTCATGGTATTCTTGATTATAATGTTATTGGACATTTTTGTTTTAAATTAAAATTAAAACAGTAACTTCTTCTGGAAAGTTAAAAATTAAGCTTATTTTCTAAATTTAATAAGGAAATGTTTAATCAGAAATACTTTCTCATACACTTGCTATATTTCAGGGATTTTCAGGTTTTGAAACATCCTCTTCAAAAGCCACCACAGGCAGTACACTAATGAAACCCTAGCTGAAGGCTCTGCATCTTCTGCTGCCGCTCATGGAGGAGGCTGCCCTTTGTACACATCACTCATCTACCCACACATGCAACCAAAGCAAAATACGGGCTTCAGCAAAATAAGGTGGAAAGCTCGCTCTTCACACACAAGTACCCTGCATTAAGTTACGAGAATTTATTTTTTTATCCAATTTGTTAATATCTTTACCAAGTGCAGCTGCCTTTAGAACAGTCATCTTAGAAATAAAAGGATTATGTGTAAGTTGAACTTGCTCTAAAGAGGCTTGGATCTTTCTTTTGGAACTGCTTTCATATTCTTAAGAAAACTTTTCATTACTTTTACTAAAATGCAAATATTTTGGCTTCCTTTACCAGCTTTGTCTCCAAATAACTTCCAATTACAAATATCAAACTTGCCCTGGCTGATGTGGCTCAGTGGATTGAGTGCCAGTCTGTCAACTGGAAGGTCAAAGGTTCGACTGCCAGTCAGGGCACATGCCTGGGTTGCAGGCCAGGTCCCCAGTTGAGAGTGTGTGAGAGGCAACCTATAAATCTCGCACATGTTTCTCTCTCTCTCTCTCTCCTTCCCTTCCATTTTCTCGAAATAAATGAATAAAATCTTTAAAGAATAAAAGGTCAAACTCATCTTCACTTGATGAAGAATTCCTAGCACTATGATCTTAAAAATGCCCCCCAATCTCTTCAACTGAGACACGTATTCTGGGAGGTTCTGTACAGTGGCACTGTCACAGGAGCGAGGATGCAGCCGCTCAGGGCAGTGTGGAGTTTCTATAATGCCAGGCCAAACATGGGACAGGTCTTCTGTGTAACCAGTAGTTTATCTCCTGTCCAGAAACGAGCGGGGCTGCCTGGGCAGGATTCCTGTCCTGCTGCTTGTTCTCCGTGTCCCAGGGCCTGTGTGTACCTTTCTGTGCTTCCGTTCCTTCACCTGTGCAATAAGGATGATGATGCTAATAATGCCTACAGCCCATAGGGTGGTTTTAACGTTTAAATAAATTAATATCTACAAAGCACTTGGAACATTGTTTAGTATGAGCAATGAAAGGTAGCTGCCATTATTTATTACCATTATAAAAGAACTTAGCTGCTATTATTTATTATTACCATTATTAAAGAACTTAATGATGAGAGTGTGGCTAAATTGCAAGGCAGACACTCAAGTCAGTAGAAAAAAAGGATATAAAGATATTTTCCTTGTTGTACATTTGACAGGTTCCAGACTTCGTCGTTAAGGAAAGCCACCGTTGCTCCCTTGAGGAAAAGGCAATGGCAATCAGGAGGGTCCAGCTTGGAGAGAGGCACAAAGGCTGGTCAGTGCTGAGTCTAACAGAGAAAGATGGCTGGTGTCTTCAGCCAGGAAAATCTCCTGTGCTACTCAGATGATGCGCAAATCACAAATACTCAGCGCACAAACATTAATACCAATGTGGAAACCATGTTTTCTTTTGCACTTCATTGTCCAAAATGATGAAATAGCAAGGCCAGAGGCAAGGCCACACTAGAACCCTGGTGATAGAACAGCTGTGTTTGCACATCAGAGAGAGATTCCTGGCTGCCACTTGCCAGGCATTTTCATGAGGATGTCGAAAATCATGAAGACTGGCACATGAGAATCATGGTATTTGCACATCAACCCTGATAAAAGTATTTAATTTCAATTGTGTTGTGAAATGTAATTTTGAGAGACAGCATGTATATACACATATATAGTATATTCCAATTTGAATAATTAAGAAATCATGATGATTTAATATAGAAATATTTTGCTAAGTACATGTCAATATTTGTTTCTAAGAAAAAGTCCTATTTGAAATACTATTAAATTCAGAAGTCACTATATCCAGATCCCTAAATAAAAGTTATATGAACTCCTCTAGTAGGCATTCTTTCAACATTTTGGCTAATGTGTAGCTAAAGTAAAAAAAAAAAAAGCTACATTTCTTTAAAAAAGGGTATAATTCAGAATTTAGCCACATCTTCCCTCCAAAGATTTAGGCATTATTCTCTGTTAACTGAGATGCTTTGCTGTTTCTGAGAGTACCTGCAGGTTTTCCTCTGTTGTCACCCAGCAGCCCCCAACGCCGAGCAGAGTGAGGATGTCATGTTTATGGGGCAGCATCTGTGATTTCCCAGCTGGTTCATCATCTTCACTATACAATCTCACTTACAAGGGGACAGTGTTAAAAAAGGGAGAGAAGAGACAGATATTTTAGTCATCAGATGAAAATTTATTCTTTGAATAAGTTCTCTTTACTTTTTTAATCTTTTTTTTTTTTTTTTTAAATCCTGAGGAAATGTTTATTGACTTTAGAGAAGGGATGGGAGGGGGAGAGAGAGAGTAACATGGATGTGAGAGAAACATCAATTGGTTGCCTTCCATGCGCTCCCTGACTGGGGACCAAGCCTGCAACCTAGGCTTGTGCCCTGACCGGGAACTGAGCCCATAGCCTTTTGGGGCAGGGGATGATGCTCCAACCAACCGAGCACCCTGCCAGGGCTCCTAACTTTTTAATGTAGGAATGAGGGATCCTTTTCCTTAGAAAAAGTCAACACAATGTATTCAGACACCTTAAAATATACTTTTTGCATTAAAATGGTCATAAAATTTATTCCAGACTTAACTATAAACGAAATAACTAAAGATAAAAAGTCTGTTTTCATTTGAAAATTAGCTGAGGCAACACAACATATAATTAAGTCTGATAGTTATAACCTTAACACCAGTGGCTTAATGCTTCGGGAAAAGCTGGCTTCTGATTAAGGAACTCATAGGCTCAAGAGAGTCATACTTTGACATAACTATTGAAATGTCCACTTGAAAAGTTAATGAAGTGTACATTCGTGAGTTCATTTCAAACCCTGAAAGTACTGGTTAAAAAGAAATCCACGTGATGGCCACACGTAGCTGTGGTCACCGGTGACTCCCATGACGGGCGAAGTGTGGCAAGTGTGAGTAAAACGCTGTTGCGGGCCCGTCACACCTGCCCTCCAGGTGAGATGACGTCACCTGAATGTGTACAGCTTAGGTGCTAAACAGATACTTGTTTCAACCAAAGTTCAAGGAAAAGTGAAAATTGAACAGAATCTGTGCGTTTTCCAAACAGGCTGCAGAAGTCGACCACCCAACAGAGGGCTGCATGTAGCAAAACTGACTGAAGAAGAATCTGCCTGAGACTTGAACTGCAGTGTATCACGTGGGAACCATGGATGAGATCATGTTTGTAAACTCTCGTAGGGACCCTTAAACTCCAATGCCTGTATTTTAGAAGATAAGCATGTCTTCCCTTCCAGACAGAGTTTACAATGGGAATAAAATGAAGAAGCACCAATTTAAATATAAAAGTTAAAAAAAAAACACTAAACATGAATAACATCATTTTAAGAAATATGTTAAAAACTATTTCCTGGATATATACAGGGGTAGGCAAAAGTAGGTCTATAGTTGTAAATATTCAAAACAGAGTTTATTTTTGTATTATTATTTATTAATTACTATACTATTTATTTGTATTATTTTCTTCTATAAACCTCCTTTTGCCCACCCCAATACACACACACACACTTCAAATTTTTTTGTAAAATTCAGCCATCACACTAACATTACCCAAACTGCTGATTTGGTCAAGTGCCTACCTCCAGCATCCAGGACAATGTCTACTCCCAGGTCACCAGTTTCTTCTAAGCAGCTCTCAGCCACACGGGCTTTCGCGTGAGACACATCAACCACTCGGGCTGTGAAGGACAGGGAGTCAGACAACTGCGTTGCTCTCTACATGGTCAACAACAGACAGATCAGAAAAGAGAAGGCAAATAAAGTTTTCTGAAATGAATTAAGTGGTTCCAATCACTACTGAATCCAAATGATACTTTTTTTCATCTAACCCAATATGGGTAAGGATCAATTTAAATGAAGGGAGTGGTATTGAAAACATACTCAATAAAAGAAAACAGGAGCATTTGGTGGATGATGTGTTCCCAGGCTGGCCTTTGTACACAGAAGACTGCTCACTGTCGCTAAGACCCTAAGGCCAGAACTGAGAATCCATAAACCATAGAGGTAGCATAAATATAAGACATGGTGAAAGACTGAGTAATTTTTAAAGTATGTTCAGATTTAATAGAGTTTAGAGCTAAAAAGTACAAAAATGTATTTGTGGGATGTGATACTTCTCTATTGGAGGCTGTTTTATACTTTCTCGATCACAGAAATCTCCTGTACCTCCCTTACTTGCTCCCCAAAACAAAGAAAAATCTTGAAGGTAAGGAAAAATAAATGATTGTTTTTAGTACAGTGAATGGAAATTAAACTAATTTTTTTCAAAAAAGATTTTATTTATTTATAGAGAGAGGGAAAGGGAGGGAGAAAGAGAGGGAATGAAACATCCATGTGTGGTTGCCTCTCATGTGCCCCCTACTGGGGACGTGGCCCACAACCCAAGCGTGGGCTCTGACTGGGAATAGAACCAGCGACCCTTTGGTTTGCAGGCAAGTGCTCAATCCACTGAGACACACCAGCCAGGGCAAATTAAACTAATTTTAATTGGTTAAAGTATTATATTAATAGCATAAGCCAATGAGAGAATTAAAACTCTCCAAATTGGAACTGGCAAATGAAGAAAGGCTTATATTTCATTTTTGTGTCTTTTACCACCTTGTCCCTAAAGAGACTTCCTCTCACAGCTGCTTGGATTCATGATGTGGTCCAATGGTGACCTAAGACTTGAGGGATGGAGGATGTGGGTCGCAGTGGGGAGGACACAAGAAAGGGGACTTGAAGCAAGCGCCCAGGAGGGGCAGGATTCACTATTAACAAGCCTTTCTCTTCAATAATACCATGTGTGCTGTTTTTCCTTCCTATTTTTCACCTCTTTTTTTCTTTTTTTTCCTGTTTTCCTCCTCCTCCAGCCCCAGCCTTAACCTTCCTTCCATTTCCTTATCATCTCTGCCAGCAGCACAATGTAACAACGGACACAACAGGAGCTTCAGTGTGGGACCGGCCCGGCTTCAAGCCCTTCTCCTTGGTGTATACCCTTGGAAAAGCTGGTCCAGCTCTCCAAGACGCTGCTTCCAGTCCGTGCCAGGCCTGTTAGGGACTTACAGTGGCAGCATCCGTATTGACACTCAACAAACACGGCTTAGTGGCCCGCCCGCCCACAACACTCTGCTCATCCTCCTTCCGTCTATTAAACGCTGCTAATTCTGTAACTCCAGTCTCTTCCAGTGCATCCTTAGCTTCCTCCTTTCCTTTTTCGACCTATTTTCTTTCTCCATTGTTTGTTGTCTAGATACAGTCAGTCTTTTCAAGGGCTCCCGCGTCTCCACCACGCCCCATTCAGCATGAGGAGGATCTGAGCTGTGTTCCCCTGGAAGGGCCTCGGCTCCCTTCCCACCACACCATGGGGACCGGGCAACTTTACAGGGGGATCACTGGGTAAAACAGGTTGAGAAACACACAAAGTGATGCAAAAATATATCGATTTATTGACTAAAACCAAAGAGGCACCAGGCTTTTCTAAACTGTTTCAAAGTTCACCTGATTCAAACTTGGCTAAGTTGATAACAATGGGGCAGAGAAGAAAAAACATTGAAAAATGTAGGTTTAGAAAAACAAAACTAGTAATTAAAACTATTATCTAGGTAAGCTTAGACTTAGCACAGATACTAAGTGCATTTTAAAAATGACTCTCAGTTGGGATTTGTGCTTTGTTTCATAAGCACAATTCTTAAGGCGCTACGCCTTCAAATTCTGTTTCCTGCCTGTGCGGAGCGCTGCTACCCACCTACAGGAGGCTGGAGCCTCTCCAGGTGCCGCTTGTCCTCCAGGCTGCGGGCGGTGGAGATCACCCTGGCTCCTCGGTGCAGTGCTAACTGAATTGCGATTGTACCAAGTGTCTGTACGGGGGAAAACACACAGCAGGTTTACCAACAGAGGGCAGAGGCCACATCTAACTTATTATAGAGGTTGCTTAATGCAGTGTAATACTTCAGTGTTACTTCGGTATATTTTTAAATGTTACCTGATAGAAAAAGAAAAAAGAAACATGGGGAAGGTCAGTAGGATCAAACACTTGATTGACTCCACAGAAGGGGTGCCGCTGGCTTGCACTGGTTGGGCCGAGCCGTGACTGAAAGGACGGTGGGCTGCACTCGACAACGTAGCCTTGGAGCAAGAGCAGCGGCCAGCAGGGCCTGGTCGCCTCACAGCCAGAGCTCCCTGCACAGCGCCCATGCGTGTCCAGCTACTGCGCCGGGCCGAGCCAGGCGCCTAGAAGGCTCGACGCGCTCAGCAGGCCAGCGCCCTGTCCAGGAAGGCGGGCTGGCTTGAGCCGTGTCTTGGGCTGAAGCCGCAGTTTTGGCTTTTTTCAAAGAAAAGCAGCGGGAAAGCACTTTCATCAACAGCCGCAGAGAAAATAAAACCATGGATTCACTCCAGGTTTTGTAACATTTTTAGGTCATATTTTTATCTATTTGCTTGTAGTGTCATATCACTTTTTTGCTAATACATGTAAAGTGTTTAAATTGGCACAGTTTTTGTGTCGTCCAGTCTATCTACAAGCGCACACCACCCCGACATCAGCGAGTGGGCACGACGTGGCCTGTAGGGCATCCTGGGGGGGGCGGCTTGGAAGCCGTCGGGGGCTGGGCCAGTCGCCCTGCTGCGGGCCTGAAAGCAGCTGTTTGCTTTTTTAACGTGCTGGCAGACTGCATGTGAGACAAAACTAAATACACTAAGTCTGCCTTTACTCTCTCATTGCTAAAAGCTGCCTATTTTAACAAAAGAGAAGTTCGGTTAAAAAAAATATCAGAGAATAAGCTACTGGCAAAAAGTTAAAATTAGAAAATGCTGGCCGCTCCCTAAGTTTAGCGCGCTGTGGTCTGTCCCTGAACAAACCGTGGGCACCTACACTTGCTCCGTCCATAACCAGCACCGACTTTCCCGGAGCGAGATGAGAAAGGCGGTGCAGGGCTGTGTAGGCCCGCACTCCGTCCCGAACGGTTCCGGCGGCTTCTGTCCACGTAACTTTTTCTGGCTTGTGAACTATCACAAAGAACAACAGGAAACAATCCGTTAGCAAGTCCCGTTGGTCTTGCCTCCTGGATCTGCCCATTCCCCTCGGCCCCACCCCCTCAGGGCCCTGGTCCCAGCCTCTACCCCTGCCTCCATACTCGCCCCTGCACAACAGACTCACCCAACAGTCTTGTCCCTCCCTCCGGAGGTCGCCACCATTCTTTTTCTTTTTTTTAAGTTGAGATATAATTGACATTACAGCTCACCATCATTGCGATGTAATTTCTCAGCTGTCCCCAGTTTAGTACTCAAGCATTCATCCCTACACAGTGTACTTTAGTTTTGCCTGTTGTTGAGCTTTATCTAAATGGAATCATACCTATATGCATTCTATTCTTTAGCGTCTTACTTTTTACACTCAACATTGTTTTTGAGACAGCCTTCTTTGTACATGAGGTGCTTCATTTTTGTTGTCTTATGGCAATTCCATAAACATTTCACTATGTGAAAATGCCTTCGTATGATCACCCATTCTCCAGTCGAGGAACATTTGTGTGGCTTCCAGTTTTTGGCAGTTACAAACAAGGCTGCCAAGAATGCTTTTGTAGAAAACACAGTGTTGCATGGGTGCGTGCATTTTCTCTAGGATATTTAACTTGGAATGAAAACCGCAGGTCCCAGGGCATTACCTTCCACTTTGCTGCACATGCCCAAAGTGCCTGTGTACATTTTGTCCCCCACAGCGGCGTATTAGAGCTCCTGTTGCTTTCAACATCCTTGTCAATCCCTGGTATTATTATACATTCTTACCAACCCAGTGGTGTGGGATGGTTTCTTACAGTGATTTTAACTTGCTTTTCCCTCACTGCTGACGAAGTTGAGCATCTTTCTGTGCTTCTTGGCTATCAGGAAATCCTTTTGTGAAGCGACTGTTTGAGTGTTTTATCAACTTTTCTATTTTGTTATCTTTTTCTTATTGAGTATAGGAATTTTTTATATATTCTAAATGAATTATGTTCTTGTTTATGTATTATAAATATTATTTCAACTTTATGACTTCTCTTTTCAATCTTTCAAACAGTGTCTTTGAAAAACAGAAAAGTAGCCCTGGCTGGTGTGGCTCAGTGGGTTGAGTGCTGGTCTGAAAACCAAACGGTGGCGGGTTCGATTCCCAGTCAGGTCACATGCCTGGGTTGCAGGCCAGGCCCCCATAGGGGGTGTGCGAGAGGCAACCACACATTGATGTTTCCCTCTCTCTCTCCCCCTCATCTCTCTAAAAATAAATAAATAAAATCTTTAAAACAAGAAAATGGAAAAAAAATAGAGAAGTATCAGAATGATCTCCTAAAAATACAAACATCCTCACTCTGCCTCAGTCCCCAGTGCCTTCCCTCGGCACTTGGAGTGAAACGTAACCTCCTCATACAGTTTAAAGAGCTGTAGTGATCTGACCAAGCCGCTCTTATGTTTAATTGTTTAGTTTTTGTTTTGATTCTATGTTTTACACTGAATGCGACCTTTTCACAGCACAAGAAATCCTTGCTGACTTAACCTCAAGCCAACGTTTAACAACGCTCCCCACCGTCTTCACCAGCTGTAAGGGAAACAGACTCCAGGGGAGGAGGGCGAGCGCGCGCGGGTTTTACCACCGAGCTAGCGCCATCTAGTGGGTAGCCGAGCACGTTGAAACCCTTAGGAGAAAAGCGGGGCATTAACAAAGGAAAACACTTGGCAGGACAGTCATGCGCTGCATAACAATGTCTGTCGACAATGGATCACACAGGTAATGGTGGGATCTATAATCCCCTAAGATTATACTGGAGCCGAAAAATTCCCATGGCCTAGTGACCTCGGAGCCGGCCCCGCGTTTTACCTAACACCCGTAACTCCAGCGTTTGTGGTGAGGCTGCTGTGAACGGACCTCCTGCACGGCCAGTCGTGTAAAAGTGCAGCACGTGCAATTAGGTAGAGTACGCCATAACGGACAACTGGACAGCGAAAATAAACGTCGCTGCTCCCGGCGTGTGCACTCGCTCTGGCTTCCCTGTCACCGCAGAGCGCACTCTCCCGACTCGCACAGCCAGGCGGCCGTGAACAGTCCGCCGGGCTTCGCGCGCGGCAGCCTCGCGCTCACCAGCCTCGCGCTCACTGCGTCTCTGGGCGCCGCCGCGTTCTCTTGTGCCTGATTCACGCCTGTGTTGTTTTGTACAGTCACATGCCGCACGGGCTCGTGGCCCAGGGGCAACAGGCCACCCCGCAGAGCCCGGGGGTGCAGTGGGCTACGCCGTCCAGGTCTGTGTAAGAGCCTCCAGGTTCACAAGACAACGAACGCACCTAACGACTCACTTCTTAGGAGGTATACACGCCCCCTGTCTTAAGTGGTGCCTGACTGTTACTAATTTGTCTGAGGCCACATAGCTAATAAGTTTCAATGTCTGATTCTAAAGCACATCTTCCCTGACAGTGTATGCTCAATTTACATACAATTTATTTATATGGAACTTTTGGAGAATATGTTCCATTACAAGATTGGGACTACATATATTTTTATTAAAAAAAAAATCAAACAAGTAGTCCTAAAAAATGCTAACAGTAATAAAACTACATTCAAGATGGCAAAAGTTATGAAACTTCACTGTTATGTGTGGTTTAATGTCAAGACCCATGCTTTTGCGTTAGGTGGTCTGTGTTTATTATGTTATTAAAAACTAATGTGTATTATTCATGAGGGTTTTTTTGGCTCTCCATTTATACTTATTCTTATATCTTTGTGTTATTATGTATATTATTATATTAGTTTTTATAAATAATAGCACAAGAATATAAGATAAGAATAATAAGTATAAGTAGAGAGCCATGCATGGATCAATAATAATAGCAAATCAGAACCCAAGAAAGATTATTTCAGTTTTCTGCCTTAAGTCCAAAGGTAAAATGCTGGAAATGTATGCCGGATTTGGAATGAAAAATAAAATTACTTTTATGTTTGACAGAATGGCTTTAGAACTGAAAGCACAAAGGAGTTGGAAGAATTACTCAACTTTTTCACTCTATCCTTACTGCTCTGGAACAGGATCAATCAGACAGTTTGGGGGGACTTGTCTGAAACCTAGCACTTTCATTTGATGAGACAGACTCTAGGAAGGAGACTGAGTGCTGCTGAGCTTTCACTAAAAGAATCACCAAAGAACTACTAGGAACTCGGACAGAGGATGGCACACTAAATATTCCCGCCCTCAAAGCATCAGGGACACACGGAACGTTATTTCCTTTCCACAAACGTTAGGGCCGCAGCAGAGCTCAGAGCTGATGTGGTCTGGCACCCTTGTTTAAAGGCAAAGTAAATGCACCCAGGGTCTTGCCTAATGGTCACACACTATTCCTGGTCATCCTTAAAGTACTTCTTTTAAAGAAACATTTTACTGTATGTTCTTTTTCAAGTAGTATCTGGAATTATTTTCTCTATATGTGTTGGTGTAATTTTGGACCAAAGTCATCTTGATCTGTAGGAAAATAAAAGCCATTTGGGTGGTTTGCTTATCTTAGCTTAAATTCATAGCTATAAAACTTTGATTTTCTATTTTGCATTTCTCCTTCTGTTCCATTTTATAACTCCAGTGTTCAGGAATGCCTAAAGAAATGGGTCCTTTTTGTTTGTTTCTTTGATACTTAAGCTTCTATAACAATTTAGTTAGGGGATTTAGCAAAAATTTAAGCCTGGGAATCCAAACTGCAGATTTTAGTTGACTTCATATTTTTACGAGGTGCTAAAAAGAACAGGGGCAACAAGAGCCCAAGGAAATTCTGGGGTCAAAATTTGTAGAGTTTGCCTGGCTGGTATGGAGCAATTGGCTGGAGTGTCAGCCCCTAACTGAAAGGTTGTGAGTTCGATTCCTGGTCAGGGCACATTACCTAGGTTGCAGGTTTGATCCCCGGACTGGGTACATATGGGAGGCAACCAATCGATGTTTGTCTCTCACATTGATGTTCCTCTCTCTCTTCCTCTCTCTAAAAGCAATGAAAAAATGTCCTCGGGTGAGGGGAAAAAAGAAGTTGTACAATTTCCCATAAAGGACCCAGTGCTGGTCCTCAATTTTCAAATTGAATAATGTCAAAACAGCGCGGAGCAGAGGCTCACTGCGTGGTATTTACAAGCGAGCTTTGTCTCTCAAGGAAAGACGCGGATGTGGCTCCGTAGCTGGCTGTAAAACATGAGTGAGTCAGCACAGGCCTCAGGTTCCTGGAGAACTACCTTTTCAAATTAATTTTTAATAAAATACTATGTTATTACTTGGAAATTTTATAGTAAACATCACTGATTTAAGTATAAATTATTCACAATTTATAATTTCAGAATGAAATGCCAATGATTTGCTAACCCAGTTCAAGTCACCATATCGACTCAAATATATGAATTTACTGTTTTTAACAGTCCAAAATCCAGATCGGCCTTCTGTCCCCCAAGGTCTGATTAGGGATTGTATCATTTAAGAAAAAACTCTGGAAACATTTTAATGGAAAAGTTCAAGAACACAAAAGAGTACTTGCGGGCCTCCAGACAAGGTGCGAAGACGCCCAGAATCCCAGGGCAGGAAAGAGCTGGCTGGCAGGCCACCGCACGCCGCAGCACCACCTGGCCACGTCCCCCTCCTCTGTCCACAAAGGTGGCCTTCCCCTGATTTTTAATCCCCATGTTTTCTTTATATCCTTAAATAAGCTATGCTTAACTATGCTTAACAAATAAATGGTATCACACTGTATGTATTCTTGCTTTCATCATTCAATACAGGGTGGGGCAAATGTAGTTTTGCAGTTGTAAGTATGCAAACACTGAGTTTATTCTTGTATTATTATTTGTTAATTATTGTATTATTTTTCATATGAACAACTGCACACCTACTTTTGCCTACCCTGTATTTGAGATTCATCCATCTCGACACTGGCTGTTATTGGTGTATTTTCACTGCTGAGTTGAATTACCATTTGGGAATGTCTTCAGTTAAAAGTGATAAACATTTGCACTGTTTCCAGTTTTAGCTCACAATTACAAACTAAGCTATTATGAACTCTAGTGCATGTCTATTATCAAGTGTCTGTGAGATACAAAACTACCAGTAGAATTCAAGGGTCTGGGTATATATCATTATCTTCATTGGATAATTCTAAATTATTTCCTAATGGGCGTGCAGCAATTCACACTGCTGGTGTGTAAAAAGCCCCGTTGGCCCGCGTCCATGCAAACCCCGGGAGCGGTCAGACTTTTCGCAGTTCGTCAGTCCTGGGGATGCACAATGACATCTCTAAGTGGTTTTAATTCACTTTTCCTCGATTACTGAGGAGAGGCAGTCACTTTTCACTGTGGCTTCATTAAGTGTGTGTGTATCTGTGTTTATTTTGCTTTAAATAGTCAAGTAAATTACCATAAGGAAAATTAAAATATAACATTTCAGTTAAACTGAATACTTGTCAAAAGATATTAGCAACAGAAACCAAAGACCAGTGTTCTTGATTCTTTGCTGTCTCAGACTCTACATGTATTGTCTAGACATTTTAATTTAAAAAAATGTAAAATAACCTTTCCAATTTCAATACATAACCAAGAATAAGAAATTAAAAAATTCTAATTAGGAATATAATTTCAGAGCGAGAAAGTGCTTTTTCAGACCTCTTACAGGAGCTATGCAAATGAAACCTAAAGGCCTCGCTAGCGTTTAGCAAGACTAGGAATTCTACGACATTGAAGCAGAAGCCGGGGTGGTCGCGGGCCCAGCCCCCGGGCCACGCCCCTGCCCGCGAGGCGAGCCGTGCCGGCCGCCACTTACCCAAGCAGTGCTCGTGCACGCGGACCACCTCACAGAGCCCGGGGTCTTCGGAGTCCAGGGGCAAAATCCCTGCGAGTGAGAACACGACACGTCAGGGACGCGGCCCCCCGCGAGTGAAGCCAGGGCTAACGGGGCGCTGGTACGGAACAGGCTGCACTTTGCGCCGCGGGGTTGTGCTAGTGCAGCGGGGAGCCAGGCTGCAGAAGGATGAACGGGAGGCGGGTGTTTCATTTTCTGATGACTGTACTGCCTTTTCCTTTCCTTTTCTCCCCTTTCCTTCACCTCTGAGGGATGGCGAAGACGAGGGCTGATCCACGGAGCCAAGTGGGCACCAGGCTCCTCATGACAAGCGCCCCGCCGCACAGTGCGGTTCCCTGAGAGACCCCGGTGGCTCCCAGGGAAATCCCGCTGCCTGCTGACCAGGCTGACTTGACTCTCAGTCCCTTACAAGAATCATGAGCAACACAGCGTCACTGACCTTTTGGTCAGATAAAAAAAGGTAAGACAGGAAAAGAAGCCTTCAAGAAAACACCCAAGTCAAAGGCAATATTGTTAAGAAGCTAATAAAAACACTCCTACAAATCTATTCTGAACCGCCTCAAGCATGCCATAAAGTGAAACATTTTCTACATTTCCATGAATACCTTCTTATGAATATTTTCCGCAAAGAAATGTAACACTTCTCATGTATTGTGTGACTGTCTAGGATATAAGTATAAATATATACATATATATGCACAAAACAGTATCAGTTATGGATTAAAAAAACAGCACATGAAATGCGCCCAGCAGATTTCCCGTTTTACGAGAGCAGCTGGGGAAAAGCCGGCACAGGTCAAGTTGAGGTGCCGAGGGACCTCCTGCAGAGCCATGCCTGCCGCGGGGCAGCGGAGGCCCTGTCCGCAAAGGGTTGTACCAAGCACGGTGACAACTGTGGTCGTCTTTGTATCTCTAACGTTGTTTTAGAGCCAAATACTGAAAAGTCTTAAATGTTCTGCTCCTGAGACCAAACTCCCAATTTTCTTCATCAATGGACATTGGAGAGCAAATCCAAAAATCAGGCAAGTCCTTGTATATGAAGCAAGGTCACCACAAACATTAATAATTGTATAGAAAAAAAGAAGAGACAACAATCAAATAGACAACTTACCAACTACTTCATCATCTGGTTGAAAGAATGACACCTTACTTCCAACTAAAGAGTAGAGAAAAGTAATAATTAGTATGATAAGGTTATTAAATATAATTCTTATTTAACTATTAAAATAAAAAGATCCATGGGTTTATAAAAAGTTACTAACTCAGAGAAAAGGCCAAGAATTTGTAGGACACTTTGATGGTTTATGAGGACTGTCGTATAGAACAGTTCAAATGTAGATCCTCTACAGTGTTTTCTGCAAGAGCTGGGCCATATGCCTGTTGACAGCACAGAGAAAAATGTCTCTATTCAGCTGAGGATGAAGGAATGAAGGAAAAGAGTCCACTCCATAGCTCCTATGATTACGCTGCGTTGCTTCTCACACTTTGTGTGGCTGAACTGTGTACCATTATTTTAGTTGCAGAATCTCAGACACACAACAGGAAAATCTGGTGTCACATACAAACTTACTTGACTTGGGATTATGGAAATAAATTCAGACTGGTGCCAAGAAGTTTTTTGGAACTATACAGAAATGATAGTTTCATTTTCTCTGCACATGTGGAGAAAAAAACCCTCCACCATCAGTGAATTCTTTAGAATATTTTTGTTCAAATCGTTACGAGAGGAAAGGGGAGGAAAACACTGTCCCTGAGAGATGGCTATGTCCAGCCTCTCAGTGTGGTGTCCCGCGTCACCCGCGTGGCATTCTCGAGATGGCTGTGGGACTCCAGCCGCACATATGGGGAAGCAGCTGAGGCAGGGAAGGCGGGCAGGAGCCTGAAGCCTGGGGTGGCCCTGGCTGGCCCTGTCATCCCCCAGGCCCAGAGCGCATGTCTGCCCTCAGCTGGGCCTCAGGTCTGAGGCTCCTGCATCCGGCCCTCCCGCACCTGTTGGCTTCTCTGGGTCCCTTCTGAGCCAGTGCCTCCAGGAGCTGGGACTGCTGGTGGCCGTCCTTTCTCTCTCCCGCCCGCTACTGGCCCTCCTCTTCCTGGGGTCCCTCTGATCCTTTTTCCTTGGCTTCCTCCTCACTTCTCTTGCCTGCCCCTCAAATGGCGGTATTCCCAGGGTCCCGTGCCATGCCTACACCTCTCCTTGACTTCTGCTACCTCCCCGGTGAGTTCATTAACTGTCGTTTCATGCACAACCTGCATGCTGACAACCCTCAAATGCACACACTTCCGGCACAGGCCACGGCCTCGGAGGTCAGGCTCGAGGCGCTGCCTCCCCGGCTATAGGCTGTTGCTGGCTCAGCAACCCCCAACCCGAACCCCCACCTCGGCCCTTATCAGCCCTCTCCCCTTACCAGCGGGCGGTGCCGGTGCCGTAGCCAAAGGCCTGTCAGTCTCCGGCTCCACCTGCTCAGTAATTCCCCTCTCCCAGTCAATCATTAAGCCCTGCTGGCTTGGCTTCCTCAATGTTTCTTGCTGACAACAGTCTCCTTGACCTTTGCCACCAGAGCCTGCGTTAGGGACTCTTGTCTCTTGCTCTTGGTCTACAACCCGAAGGGTCCTCCCACCTACAGTGCGGCTCGCCCCCAGTCCACCCTTCTGGGGCCGCTCCCCAGCCTCCCGGAAAACCCTTGTGGCCAGGCGGCTGTCCCGTCCGGCCCTTGCCTACCCTCCTGCCTCATCACTGGGGGGCGGGCGGGCAGGGAGAGGAATCATATCACCTTTAAAATATTTGGTTCACCATCTCTTATTCTTCTACATTTGAAGAATTTTCTGGACAAAATTTTTTTCTGGGCCACGTATCTTGCCTCCAAACTAATTCTCTCCTTTCGTTTAATTCTTACACACATCGCATTACTGGCTTCTGTGCCTTTATCCCTGGCGCCCTCTTGGCTGAGTGAGCATCCCCTCCTGCTGGCCCCTTTTTTCCCTGCTGACTCCAAGAAGCACCCTCCTGCCCCCACTTCCTGCTTGCTGGGCCGGGCACCCGTCCTCAGAGCGCTCACAATAACCCACCCTGGGCGTGTGTGCCGGCCTTTCCCTGGGATTACGGGTGCTCTGAGGGCAGGGAGTTTATCATATTTATCTCCATATACCAAGCACTTAGCAAGGGGTCATTAAATATGGAATAAATGAATAAATGATTACTCATCTTCTGGCTATTATAATTCTTTCTTTTATTTTCCTACAGTGTGAGCAGAAGAAAGGAGAGGGAATGAAATTATGAAATTATGAATTAGCTATGTTAGAAGATTACACTGAGAAAGAGGGTCAAATATATTGCGGGTTAAAATTATAGGCAAAACTCAAATTGTCTCTAACCCATTATATACACTCTCATTTGCATATGCAGAAAGAGCAACCATATACCCATTAATCATGAACTACCGATTAGCAGTGAATATGTTAGAAACAAGTTATTATTTCAAGTACTTAGCTTGTCCTGCATGTTAAGACCATTATTTACTAAATAAGACAATTTTTTTTTTAATTTAAGGCAATCATATAATCTTACATACAGGTTATTTCTCCCCAGAACCAATTTTTAGATGAGCAAACTGCTTAACTTGTAAATGCTCAATTTTACTCAAACTTTAAAATTTAATGTGAGCCCTGACAGGCGTAGCTCAGTTAGTTGAGCATCATCCTGCAGAGCGAAAGGTCGCTGGTTGGATTCCGGGTCAGGGCCCGGGCCGGGTCGAGGGGTGCGTGAGAGGTGATGAATCCATGATTCTCTCCCCCTCTTTCTCCCTCCCATCCCCTCTCTCTAAGTAAATACAAATAAAATAAAATCTAATGTGAGTACAGTTATTATTACGTAAATTTTGCCCTAAAGCCAACTTCCACAAGGAATTTATGCTATTTTGTAAACATCATAGAAAGGACAACACAGGTCATTCTGTTCACTGTGATCACTCACAGATTCCAATACATAATCCCTAAGTACTTACTAAAGCATAAGAAGCTCTCATTATAAAACACCAGTTAAGTTCCAGTTTGCTTTTTAATTGAAAAAAGGAAAATATTTCTGTATAATTAAATTCTGTATTTGAAGAAGTATGTATGACTTTACGTGCCAGCACCCAGTTAGAAACCATGTAATATACATGTAGATATTTACAGTTGAAAACTTACCATCTAACACAATTCCAGCAATTTCTCTTCCAACAGGAAAGAACTCCTTCTCCACCTTCATTTCTGCTAGGAGCTAAACCATGACAAAGGCTGTTTACTGTCAAAAGTAAATCCTGGCTTATGTAAGAAGAAAGTGGGAGAAAAAGTCAACCACAAAAAAAGCAAATAGGATTTGGTTCTGGAATAAAGACAAAGCGAGCAAGCTCACAAAATGGGTTTCTCTGCAGAGTAAGAAACCAGGAGTCTGCTGAGGAACTGATTTGCGGGACTCGGGTGTGAGCGTCATCACCCACAGCGCCAGGCACGCGCTTCGTTTGGCACCTTCACTCCGCCGAGCACGAAGGGAAACTACGGCCCAAACTCACCAGGCAGCCCATCTGGGTGCAGTGAGGGGAGTTCCGGGAGGGTGCTGATGAGCGAGGGGCACATGGCGAATGGGAGCAAAAGGCTCTCAGTCCCCACGCCCTTCAGAGTCACCCGAGTGCTCCTCCCAAGTCTTGGGTTAAGAAGCGGTGGGAAGAGGTGATGGATATTCAGAGGAAAATTGCCCTATAACTTCAAATTCATACTTTTATAATAATACCGGAGCCATGGAACATATTTGTTGGTATCATAGTATTTTAGGAACAGTTAGTAAAAAAAATTTAAATAATTCTCTTGTATATTCTTTTTATTTTTCAATATTTAGACCTAGAACTACTTGATTGCTGGAAAGCCTCTCTTTCCATGTGGAACTTGTACTTTGCTAAGGCGACAGAATGACATTCTTACAGAAATACTGGGTGCTTTACGTCACTTCTTTTACGCTCACTTCTGCAGGCCTGCTTCACGCACCACACGCATTTTCTTACGTCACCACACAGTTTTCATGACCGCTGTGTTTAATAGTTGTGCAGTATTTCATTGAACTGACTTTACTATTTTTTCTAATAGACATGAGATAATTTTCTACATCGGGATTTTTTTTCTCTTTCTTTTCCATTTGCCGTATCTTTTATTCCTTTTTCTTGCTTTTTGCACTATCTAGGGCCTCCAGTATACCCAACAATGCTAAGTAGAGGTTGCGCTAGAAGCCTGTTCGTCTCTTTTTTGTTCCTAGGATGGGACTTTAATGAATTTTTCATAGTTTTAAAATGATGAGAACAGGTACTACACTTGTTAGCCAAAAGGCCGAGAAGCGATGAAATTCTCATAGCTTTAAAGAGAACACCGTGGAAGGGCTGAGCTCAGACCCTGGTGACAAGGAGGAGGACCGCCGTTCCCGGCGGAGGGCTGGACGCGCCTCGCTGGCTCACTCCTCAAGGCCTGCTCGCCTCACAGAGCTGCCCAAAGGGAGCCCAGAGCTCTGTTCTGTAATTTCTTTAATGGGACTTCACTGCAGAAAACTTTCACTTTGACTCCTAGAAATTATGGTGACAATAATCCAATGACTTCAGTGTCCAGTAAAACTATGTTATCAATTTTTACAAAACGGAGCAAATGCACCTGCTATATGTATCAGGGCACATTGAACCACAGCTGACCGTTCGAAAACGTTCAGTGACAGAAGGTGACTGTGGGGCTGAGTGAGGTGGGGGGTCGGCGTGGGGGAGAAAGACAAAGGGAAATGACAAGAGGGGTGTACCCTCTGTCTAAAGACATTAACTGGAAATATCCATGGGACAGACAGTTAATAAGTTAGCTGATTAGGTTTTTATATTTTTACCATATTTATAATGGTATTTTCTCTTTGATTATAGGCCTTAGTAATTATAAATTCCCAGCCTCTCACAGTGGAAAGGAGTTTGTAAGGTATTTTCATGTAATAATATAAAATGATAACTTCAATTAGAGTAACAATTTAATATGGAAATGTACAAATTCACATTAAGCTTTTTTCCTAGCTATTCTAAGAATGATCATAAATTTCTTGGCACTCAGAAGTCAAAGAAATTAATGAAGTCCAGCGAAGTTATTGTTATAATATATCTGTAAACTAAATATACTATGAAACTCTCATTTAACTTTTGGCCAAAATAAAAGCACCAATACCTTTGTATTTACGTGGCTCAGAGCACAAGCTTTAACTTGGATTTTCACATAGTTGTCCTCCGTAATAGGGAGATTTTCCTAGAAGCAAATAATAACAAAATATTATACATTCCTTTGAAATTATGTCTTTATGCTGTGAAAATTTTCGTATATAATTAAAAGTAAACAGGCCATAAATCTTCGAGCTAACTATAGGGGTGAAAACTAAGTGCTAGTTGCCTATTTCATAGTGCGAGAAGAATTTCTGGGTCATAAGCACAGCCCAGTATTCCTGCGTTACCTCCACTAAGTCCAGAAGCATTTAGGTCCGGGGTCAAACCTCACGCAGCTCAGCTTCTGCCACTGGGATGATCTGGGCTTGCCACAAACCTTTCAAACCACTACCAATACATGAAAATTCCACTATCTACACTTGAAGTGGTAAAAAACTGCAAACCATTTAAAGCTTAGTGAATGAGGTAACTTTGCAAAGCTCAGAAATTAGTGTGGGAAACAATGTTTTTCCACCTCTCATTTCACAGTTTGAGAAAGTGTACGTTCTGAAATATGGCCACTGTCTAGAAATTCACTTTAGTGTGGTATTCCAAATAAGGTGAGTTAATTTTGCAACATATAAGACTATAAAGGTTGTTCTGTTTTCCTGGTACTTTTATACCACCACACCCGGGAAGTAAAAACTTTTTGGTAGCAACTCTTTTAAAAATACAGCAGTCCTTCAGCAGGAACCGCCACTGTCGCTTAGCATTGAAAGAAAAGCATTTGTAGTGTTTAAGTTCCACTAACACACCATGTAAACCTGGGTAAATACGCTTATCTTGTTTCGTTTAATGATTAAACAATTCTTCTTACCCTTTCTTGAAATACAAATGTTATTTCTTCATTTGTAGAATTCTGTTGAAAATACAAGCCTTTCATAGTCACCTAAAACAAAATAAAAAAATACATTAAATAAACTAACAAAACATCTTCCAGACCAAAAGAAAGAAAAAACTAAAAAACAGTGCTGCAAAGGATAAAATGGTAACTATAAATGTAGTTTTCCAACAAATAAATGTAGATAATAGTTCCTGAAAGAGGATATGCCATCGTCTCCGGTACACGTCTTAACGGAGCACAGGTTTGCAGTTCAACTTGTCATGTAAGGGCGAGCGTGTGCTTAATTTCACTTTGCTCTTCAATAAAAACTACTCAGTGTACTTGGGGGGAAAAATTCAGGGGGCCAGAGAGCTCCATTACAATCACCAAAGGTGCCTTTTAAAAGGTGTTCAAAGCTGTGCCCTGACCAATGTGGCTCAGTGGGCTGGGCATTGTTGCACAAAGCAGAAGGTTGCCAGGTCTTCTCCCGGGGCAGGGCACAGGCCTGGGCTGCGGGCCAGGTCCCCAGCAGGTGTGCGCTAGAGGCAACCGATTAATGTTTCTCTCTCACATCGATATTTCCCTCTCTTTCTCTGTCCCTTCCCCTCTAAAACTAAATAAATAAAATCTTACCCCCTCCCCAAAAAGCATTCAAAGTCTTAAAAAATACCATTAAAAAGGAAAAACTGGACCATCAAGACACTTTCCGAAACTATGCCCCTAGTCTTCCGTAACAGCTTACAACCATTTAATGGAAGTACGTACACCTGTAGCCTGTGGCCCTCTTGAAGCACTGCTAAGGATTCCACTGTTGTTTAATTTTCATAGTGGTTGTACGGCAAGACTATTTTCTTTCTTTTTTTTTTTCAGACTATTTTTTAAATCCCCACCTGAGGATGTGTGTTCATTGGTTTTAGAAAGAGAGGGAGGGAGAAAGAGAAAGACCGATCTGTTGCCTCCCCTGTGCGCCCCAACCGGGATGGATCCCACAGCCGTTTGGTGTGTGGGCTGAGGCTCCGACCGGCTGAGCCACCTGGCCGGGGCTGGGCTGTTTTCTTACTATAAATTTTATAGAAGGATACAGCGCACAGAAAAGTGCCCAGATCCTACATGGCGAAGCTCGCGGAACATGATAAAGTGACTGCGGCTGTCAGAGCAGGAAGCCTGCCAGGAGGGCCCCAGAAGCTTTCATTCCCCTTCTGGTCACTACCTCCCCCTGTAAGAACACTCAGTACCCCTGTTCACAGCACAGGTTAGTCTCATCTGTTCGACTTTATACAAATGAAATTATATTCCTTTCATGTTTTCGTCCTTTTTCTCAATATTGCTTGTTTCACCCATGTTGTCGCTGGCAGTTGTAGTTCATTCATTCTCATTGCTATATAGTATTCCATTGAGAGAGACATTTGATTGTGCTCAGTTTGGGGCTTTTACAAATTATCCTGTTAACATTCTTGTACATATGTCTTGGCAAAAGCACTATCACCACATTTACTTTAGGAGTGAGGAAACTGAGCCTGACAGTGCCAGCTGGGCCGGAGCTGGGACAAACCCCATGCCACCAACTCCAAAAACCGTTTCTCTCACCCATTACATGAGTGCATTACATCATGGTTTTCTATTGAGCTGCTAACATTAGATTTTCCCCTAAAGCTAGAATCCTATATCCTTTCGTTTAGGATCGACAGTTACTAAGCACCTGCTGATAAAATTGTCCGCATAACTTGCAGAGCCCAGTGCAAAAAGGAACTGTAGGGTCCTTGTCCAGAGATTATTAAAATGCCAAGATGGTGACAGCAGAGCATTACACCAAGCGAGGGCTCCTTCTGAGCCGGGGTCCAGGGCACCTGTAACGGCGCCGCCGCCGGGAAACCAGCCTGCAGGCTGAGCCTTGGAGGACCTCATGAAGCCGTATGAGCGGTTTTCACTGAGCAGTCTGGCAATGATTAGGGCTTTCTAGAATATGATAACCAAATTCTGGAACTAAAAGAAATGACTAGACATTCAAGACATATATAATCATGCATGCAGCATGTAACAACAGAGTCTGTAAAGCAGCATAAGCTACGTCAGGTGAGTAACTGAATTCTAGCCTCGGACGGAAGGGCCTGCGCGTGCCGGCGTTTGCGGGGAGAGGGGAGAACCTGGGCCCGGCCGCAGCGGCTCTGTGTCCCCGCGACAGGAACCTCGCCTCTTCCGCCTGGCTTTCACGGCCGCCTCAACGGCATCGCCCGCTGTCCCTAGTCCACCTCACGACCCCATTTTTCCAGCGCGTACCCTGGCCGATCCGGCCACCGTGACGTCACACCCTGTGGTCACCCGTGGCTCAGGGCACCCAGGCACAGCTGGTTCTGTGAGACGGCGCTGCTCCTGCTGCGCAGGCTTCGCGAAGGAAATAAAGCTCAACCCGCTTCCTCTCTGAAATCTCCCCCAGTGACACTCGATCGGCCCCACCTGCTCCGTGCTTCTGGATTCCATTACACAGCAACAAAACCTTGCCTTATCCGCTTACTAGGTGGGTTTTCCCAGCTACTGCTTGGGAGAATCAGTATCCATTATTATGAAATAATAAAATCTCTGCTGCTGCTCAGACTGGAGCTACTGGAGTTGCTGTTTTGAGAAACGGAATATTGAAACAGCAACACTTGGATTTCAAGACATCTCTTGTAATTCTGGAGGCCACGGTCATCTCTGCCCTCTGCATCTTAAAACATGGGGTGTCCCCCAGATGAACAGTCATGGACCTCATACCACGTACCCCGATATCAAAGCCCTGGGAAGATAACTGTACTAAAGCAAATATTATATACATAACAACGCCACTACTTTCAGTCAGATCATCCTAAATAGTTCCCCCAAATTTTAGGTTAAAATTGGCCTGGTTGGTAGAAAAAAGGAATCTTGACTTGGTCCAATAAAGAGCCAGGCGGGGACAAAAATATCCTCGCAATTACAAAGGGAAGAAAGAGAAGCGTTTTTACAAAAGTAGCAAGACCATTGAGAAAATATTATTTGTTTTGCAAACTCCCAAAATACTCAGTTCTTGACACTAAGAAAATGGTAGAATGGATGCTATTCAAGGCCCACGTAGTCTCTCAGGCATTGGTCAAGGTTAAATGGAACACCTAGTCCATTACTTAATGAAATTGTTATTGACTGTAAAGATACTTGCACAAAGAAAATAAAATAACTGACCACCTTATAAAAATAAAATTATAAATTAAAATATATACCACTTATCATGCTATTTCCAAGAATGAATGCCATCTAACTTCAAAATTATATGCTCTACTTTCAACTTTCCTTTTTTAAAGAAGTGCTACATAAAACTTTTAAGTAAAAATAAACCTATTTAAAAACATAGGCTGATATGCCCTATAAAAAGTGTATCAGCTTACATTTTTAAACAGGTTTATTTTTCTGTGTACACCGGATTTTAAATATACTTGACGTAAGTCCACAAATTGAGGATTATGTTTGTAATACTTTATATTTTTATAATGGTCCATATTAAATCTATTAAAATATGTAGAAACAAAAATTAAGACACCTATTTTAAATAATTTTCGGTAAAAAGCAGGGGACTTTGAATAAATTAAGCGTTTGTTATAATTAACACTTCAAGGAAGTAGTTAATAAAAGCACTGATCTTTTAAGGAATTCTAAAAAGAATCAATGGGAAGACATTTCTACTGGCTTCATCTTAGTTTTAACAGCAACACAGACCTACTTGCTCTCCTGCTACATTTAATCTCCCAAGGAGCTCATCTATTAATAATTGTAAATAAAACCTCTACAGATCATTCCTTATCTACACTTTCAGACCAAAAGTGTTCTGAGTATCAGATCAACCTCAAATTCAAGAGCCGTAAAACTGGGTTCATCTTTCTCCAAAATAAGATTTGGCTGGACCAGCCTTTGGTCATCAAGGGTACCTTGGAGTCTATCACAATCTCTTCCTCGGTATCACAATAAGGTACTGCCCAGAGGCTTCCTTTCTCTTTGAAGGCCAGGCCGAGCGGCTCATTTTTCGATTCGATGGCTGGTAGCACCAGTGCTGGGCTGACAGCGGATGCCTCAGGCAGGGGCTGCTGGGCGGCTTCGTTTCCTCCTCCTGCCCATCCACCTGCTGCTGCAGACAACTTAATTCCCGAAGTCCAAAACTCTTTGTATGTTAAATTTCTATTATTCCTCAACACAAACTCTGCAGTATTGTGGCCACTTCCGGTTCAGGATTCAGCTATATTTCTAACCCACTTTCACTTCTGTTTTTAGGAGCTCATCATGCTCTGGACTGTTAGGGATAAATCTGCAGTTATATTGAAGAGGTGACTTAATATTAAGTTTTAATAGTGTTCTTACTAATCTGTGAGAATTTTCAGACATATCCTCGTATCAGATAAAGAAATATGTCATACCATGTGCCCAAATATTTGATTAAAAAATACGGTCAGCAAATCACAGTAAATAGATGGAGGTTTGGTTTACCATATTTTGCTGTGTATAACGTGCATGTATTTGCCCAAATTTTTGAGGGAAAAATAAGGATGTGCATTCTACACGGCAAACTACGGTTAAGTACCATACTTTGCAGGTTGTGAAGAATGGTATTCCTAGTTAGATGGGGCAGCTCTGCTTCTCAAGAGGAGTGGTGGGTGCGTGGTCTTGGCAGCTGGCGGACATCCCTACCCTGTGCAGGCGACAGTCTCTAGAAACCTGTACACTCTGACACTTCGCGTAAGCAATGAGCGCACACATGCCTACCTAGAACCTAGGAAGCATTTCTTAGGGTAACATGTTGTAAGAAACTTTACTTTCACAGTTGAGGTACATCATTTAAACTGAGGGGGAAATGCATGAAGTTGCACGGTCCTTATCACTGGAAGGACTGAACAGAGGCTGAATACACACAGTGGCATCATAAAGAGGATTCACCATCAGCTGGAGGGGAAGGGAGCTGAGCTGGCCGTAGTGAAGCCTCTCCTAATTATGACAGTCTAGATTTCTACGAACATTCTCAAGACATACTCGACTGAATTTATACACTTGTGGCATGATCTTTACTTTTCCCACAACCTGACATCTAAAGGTAGGTGAAGAATTAGGAAAGGAAAAAATTTTCTTTTTCATATAGGCTTTACACAGAAGTAAAAAAAAACCCCCCCCAAAAAACCGCATTTGCTTGGAGATGTCAAATTGTTGCCTATTTATACAGCAAGTGGTTGCCAATATGTGTCTGTCTAGAACAGTGGCTCCTAACAATGGCCTCTTTTAAAAAAAAAATTTTTTTTCTAGACACTTTATTCATCTATTTTTAGAGAGAGGGGAAAGGAGGGAGAAAGAGAGGGAGAGGAACACCAACGTGTGGCTGCCTCTCACACATCCCGACTGGGGACCAGCCCACAACCCCAGTCATGTGCCCTGACTGGGGACCAAATGGGTGGCCCTTTGGTTTGCAGGCTGGTGCTCAGTCCACTGAGCCACACCAGCCAGACTTTTTTTGTTTACTGATTTGCACTTAGGATTCTTGAGGGAGGCATCCCCTGCCAGCACGGCTGGCCTGCGCACAGTGGGTGGGCTGGGGGCTGGGATGGCCGTTATTTTAAGGATGGTCAATCTTTGCTCCAGCTACTGTTCAATGTAGGGCCACTCAATATATTAAGATCGGGAATAACAGAAACTAAACTTCCATTTATATTTCTAATTAGCATCATATTTCCCCCCTAGAGACTATGGGGAACAATGGAGCCAATGGTGTGACAAATGAGAAAGTCTTCTCTTTATGCTCTTAGTCATGTGACTCGGGGACAGTGCAGGTGGTGACGGGGGACACCAGCACCCGAGGGATCTGCGGATCGCCACTGCTCTTTCCCTCCTTTCCAATGGCCTGACCCAGTCCTCTCCACTGACTGCCGTGTCTGCAGTCTGAAAATGCCTACTGAATTTTCCAACTCGCTACAGCATCTTTAAGAAACCATTTCTGGCTTCAGATGCAAAACAGAAATTTTAATTTTGATTATTTACTTCTAAATTCACAATTGAGAGAAAATGATTTATAAGGTTTCATGTTTATTGTAATGTATAAAATTAGAAGAAAAGTATTTTGCAAAATACCCTATTTTAGCACATGTGGATATATGTATTTTCACTCTTCTACTCATGAAACCTCTTAGTTCCATGTATTACTTACTGTTCACTGGGTCTAGAAAAATCACAAATAAAGTTGTCTTTGAAATATTCTGTGTGAGGTTCACAAAAGCAAGACAACATTTTTAGCAATTAAAAACATGATTTCACTAAAACAAAAGTACACCATGATTCCATACTGAGATAAAGAATTCCCAAGTTTTCCCACCTTCAGGGAAGTACACAAAACGAATCAAAACACAATACTGCCCAAGGTACAGTTCTTGTCCAGGGGCCTCAAATCAATGTTTTGAACACTCTTCTTCAATCCAGAACTTTGATTTTGAATGCATAGCACGGAGAGTTGTAAAACTACCAAAATATTTCACTGCAACTGACAAGCAACCTAATCTTGTCCTGGAAACCCTCTCTTTCAAATCTCAGCATCTCACTCCTGCCATAAACTGGAGCAGGGGCACCAAGGAGGTGAAGTTAGTCATAAAAGGTAGTAATTATACGCTGCAGTGGTTGACAAATAGGATTTAGAAATCGTAATTGACCGGAGTTTGAATCCTAGCTCTCTGACTTGCTAGCTACATGACTTTGGGCTGTTTAATTTTAACCTTCTGGGCCTTACATTTCATACCTATAAAACAGCGATAATAGCAGTTAGAACAAAGGGTTGCTGTAAGGATTAAATGATACATGCAAAGCACTACAAAAAAAGCGTTTGTAAGTGTTGCCCATTTTTACTAATATTTCTGTAAATTGGGCAGAGAACTTCTCGAAGTCCACCTCAAACGGTTTGGTCATATGCAACCTGAGCTTTAACACCTTTCAGTTTCTGCAGCAGGCAATTATATCATCTGGATCTGCACTGTCCAATGAGGGCGGCCACTCGCCACAGGTGGCTAAGGTGCACTTGAACTGTGTCTAGTTGCAATTAAGATGTGCTGTAAATGTAAGCTATACATCAGATTTCAAGGACAATAGGGAAAAAAGTATAATATCTCAATTTTAAAGTATTTAGTTGTGTTGAAATTACATTTTGAACATACTGGATTGAATGAAACATTACTAAAATTAATTTCACGTGTTTCTTGTCGTATTTTTGGCTACGACTACCACAAAATTTAAAATTACGCTAAGTTGCTGGCATTGTATTCGCACAGAGCTGACGGAGAATCTCGCAGCACCTGGGAGCTCCTTGGAAACGCAGATTCTCCGGCCCCGCCCAACCTAAGGAACCAGCCTCTGCACGTCAACGTGTTCCGAGGTGGCTCTCAGGCGCGCTCCAGAGTGTCAGTGTTTAGCTGCAGAGGGCAAATCAGGCCCTAAAGTCACATAAATGAGAATACTCTTGCTTTATTTAGGCAATGGCTTCGAAAAAGCAAAGTGAAGGAGTACAAAGCAGTGGCAGAGAAGGGTAACGGAGGAAGAAAAAGAAACTAAATTACAGGAACAATGAGGCAGGTGGGGGGAAGCCAATCCGGAAGATTCAGTGGACAGGTACTGCCAGACTTTTGCTGCCCTTAAATGTGCAGGGATAGGCAAACCGAGAGAAAATCCGTAAGGACTAGGAAATCGCCAGACAAATCGAGTCTTCCCCGCCCCTCGGTGGCCTCAGCTAAGCTAGGCCCGGGCCCGAGCGGATATGGGGTTGAGGTGCAGGGCGAACCACCATCCGCTCTAGGGCTGAATGGTTGCGCAGGGCGTCTCTCGATCTTTCGTCCAAAGCTCGGTTTCCCAAGACACACGATGCACTAACCGGGACTCACCTGCCTTCGAGAAGCTCTAACGGCCTAAGCTTCCGCCACCGCCACCTTCGAGTCCTTCTACAGATAGCCCGCCCCCGCTGGCACAGGCGCTACTTCCATTGGTCAGGCCGCCCGTCACTCCCGGACTCCGGAGGCTGGCGAGAACGCCATAGCAACCGAACTTGGAACTACAACTCCCGGCATGCCCTGCTAGGAGGAAAGCGAGGAGCTGAAAGGGGCTACCAATAAACGGGTGAAGTTGCAGTCATCTGGGTGGGATCCGTGTTTCTCAAATTTCAAGTTCAAGACTACACCCTTTCTCATTCCAACCGTTTGCCCTACTACCTTCCTCGGACTGTGCCCCGCCTTCCTTTTCGTCTCTAAGTTATTCTCTCCTTTAAATCTTCCTTAGCTAGTTTAGTCGAATGCATCTTAACTAATGTCTCTCATGGCCACGGACAGATGCACTGAAATCGTGGAACAAAATTTCCAAAAGCCCTGTCAGCGAAATCCTGGATGAGTAGGCTCTGGTTACGCCTTCTGAGTTCTCCTACCCCGCCCCCACTTTGAGCTTCTTTTTTTTTATTGGTTCCCTCTCTATTAGTTCCCGGGTTGGGCGGTGCTAGAGGCGGGGCGGTGATAGGGGCGGGATCCTTTTCCCGATTGGCAGAACGTGTGTCCCCGCCCACAGGTGGGTGGGGACACAGGGGGATGGGGGCGGGGCAGGCCGCGGAGAGCGGTGAGGAGATAGGCGGGAGCGAGGGAGCGAAGGAGCGAGGGAGGGAGCGAAGGAGGTAGAGAAGAGCGGAGGAGAGGGGTGGGAGCGCAGCTTGGTTGCTCCGTAGTACGGCGGCTCGCGAGGGAGAGTTCCGAGCGGACTCCGGGACGCGCGGAGAGGCGGGCGGGCGGGGATGGTGTGCGGGACTGCGGTTCCTGCGTCCCTCTCCGCGGCGAGAGAGCGGCACTGATTTGTCCCTGGGGCGGTAGCGCGGACCCGCCTGGAGATGAGGTGAGGAGCGGGCTGCTCGGCGGCGGCGGCCTGGACCGGGGAGGCGACGGGCGGGGGTCCGCGCGGGGGTCGGCGCGATGGCCGCCGGGGCTCGCGTCCCGAGGCCGCCCTTCAGCCTTTGCCGCGCGCCCGGGAGGCGCGGCCACGGCGGCCCCTCGCCTCGTCCTTCCCCATCCTCCCGGGGGCGGCAGGCTGGCGGGCGCCGGGAGGCCGGGGGGCCGCTGCTGGGCGAGGGGCTGGCGGCTGCGGGACGGGCTCCGGGTTGAATGGGCGTCCGCAGCCCTGGCCGGCCGAGCGGGGTCCCTCCCTCCCCAAGGGGCTGCGGGGGCGCTCGGGCCTCCAGGGCTGACCTCGCTGCCCTCGGCCGCCGGAGCGCGGCGCGCCGGCCAAGCCTCGCCTCCCCGCCAGCCTCCCGGGATTCGGAGGTTGCGGGCAGCGGCGTCGCGCCGCGAGCCTCTCCCGGGCCTCGAGTCCCGGGCCCTCCGTCTTCCCCTCGTGTGCCTGCCGGGCCCGATCCGGGAAGGGCCGTCAGCGCCGGGCTGACTCCCGCGGGGGCTGCGTTTGCGGCGAGCGCGCCCCGCGCTGCGCCCCGGCCCGCGCCCGCGGTGCGGTCGCCCTCGCTGGCCCGGGGAACCGTGACCGGCACCCGCAGAAACAGGAAGCCGCCGAGGAAGGGCTGCACTCGCCTTTCCTTCTGTGCGCCCGTGGGTCCGCAGACAACTTCGTAGATGATGCGTCCTAGGGGCATCTTTTGTTGTGGTTCAGGCTGAGGAAGGCTTTGCTGTTGGAGAGACGGACGAGCGGCTTCTCGGTCGGGTGGAGGCTGGGGGGCGCCGGCCGCCTCCCGACAGGAAAGTTTTCCGTCCGAGCCCAGCCCTCGCCGGGGCTGCGGTGGAGGCGGCAGCGGGCTGGGTTCAGAGATGCCCGCTCCGGCCCGGGGCGCTTCTTTGTGCTTCTCTGCCGGCATCCTGCTCCTGCCGTTTGCGGGGTCAAAGCGCACAACTCATACAAGCACAACAGAGGGTGTAGGTGACAAACACAAGTGCCACCCCAGGGTACGCAGCTGGGAAATCTCAGCTCTGTCAACGGGAGGCGGTTTCTCTAATCCCTCTGACCAGACGCAGGGCAGCCTAGGAGCGCCCCCGGATTAGGTGGGGGGCCGGGGCCGGGGCCGGGGCCGGGTGCGTGGTGCTGCTCCTCGCCTCTGAAACGGAATGTGTGTTATTAAATGACTTAAGGTGCCGAAGTTTAAATACACCCCAGAGTTTATGATTTCTGCCTGTCTCTGAGAACTATGTTTTCCTTTTAATTACTTTTAATAGTTTACTTGAAACATTCATATCGTTTTGATGTAAGTCTGCTTATCACATAAAAATATATATTTTAAATACTGAGTTCTTTCTGCAGGTTTGTGAAGCACCCAGGAACTTTAAGTAACCTAAATTGCGAAATGAGGGACATGAGTGATGGCATTAAAACTGCCTTGAAACTCCTTTAAGCAGCTCCAGTGAGGAGTTTCTGATTGAGTTTTTTTTTGAAAAGATATTTTTTGAATCTAGGAATGTATTTACTGAAATTGTTATGGCACATGGTTCCTTCACAAAACTCTATTGTTAGTCTGCCTGAGTAGGAGAGGAAATAAACACGTTTTTGATGTACTTTGGAACCCTGTGGATTGTTCAGATACTAAGCATTGTGAAATAGGGCATAAAATGAATGGTAGCAAGTTAATTCCGTGAAATGTTTGTCCCTCTTAGTATTTTTTTTTTCCAGTTGACTAGCAGTTTCCTTTTTCTCAATGCTTCTCTGTAATATTGGTGGTAGAACTCTTAAGTTCGTCTTTTCCCCAAATGCCTAGATTGAGGCAATTTCAATCTCCCGTAGGAGGTTAAGGAGGAAGTGCCGGGCAATTCCGGTGCTCTAACTCATCTTTTTAGTTTGCTGGGTTTGTGAATTACAGGGAATTAACTACACGAGGGTTGGGTTCATGACTCAGTGCCAAGCGCACTGCTTGTAGAGCTTTTCTCTCCGGAATGATTTTTGCCTTCTGAATGGCTCCAGTTCCTAGTGGGTTTCTCAAAGTCTGGACCGCAGATCCCTTAGAGCAGCATTGACTGAGGTTTTTGTTAAAAATACGGGTTGTCATCTCCCTTCAGAATCAGGCCCCGGGGGTGGGGCCCTAGAGTTGGTATTTTCAGTCCTGCAGGAATTTGTCCCTAGTGGTCAAGCTGGAGAACCAGCCACTGGTGTTACGCTTCCTTCTCACTGAGTATCTCCTAAGAGGAGCTCTGGAAGTGAGTGGCAAGTTTTTCAAGTAGCAGCGTTTTATACCTTAGGCTGCTAATAAAAACTGACTGTGACCTTCAAATGAGTGTCATGCCTGTAACCACCCTTTCAGTGGGGCAGAGGCTTGAGTTCGTCATTCGGTATCCTGAGTGCCTAGAATAGTGTCTGGAGGCACTCGATTAAATATTTATGAGTGAACTACATTGCAGCAGGGCCACATTTTAAAACCTTTGCTTGTAAAATTATTTTTATCACTTAATAGTCACTGATTGTATAGAAACGGGAGCTGCAAGTGCTGTGCCCCAGTCATTTCCATAAACTTGATTGGCTCTGAAAGGAGAGAACCTTTCCCAGGCAAGGAATGATCAAGGTGATAAGCTGGAAAGAAGATTCCTAGCGAAATACTTGCTTTGAGACTCAAAATGGAATTTTAAGTCACTGTGTAGATGAAAATTACTGTGTCATCACTATATCAAAATACCATTTTATAGGCTATGGTAATTTCAACATAATGCTATGAAAATTGATTTTCAAAAAATATAGAAAATTGATACTTTTTCTGTTATGCCTGGGTAGCTCAGTTGATTCATCTGATTGGAGCATCATTCCTCCTCCTCCCTGCCCCATATGCCAAGGTTATAGGTTCAATCCCTGGACAGGGCACATATAGGAACCAATCTGCATAAATAAATGAAATGACAAATGCCCCCCCCCCCGCCACCTTTCCCCTCTCTTTGTCTAAAATTAATAAATAAAAATTCAAGAACAGAAAATCGGTATAGTTTCCAATTTAATTTTTTATATTAATAAAATATGACCTTTTCTTTCTTCTTTTAGAGTAGGGATGCCCAACCTTTTGGCATCTCTGGGCCACATTGGAAGAAGAAGAGTTGTCTTGGGCCACACATTAAATATACAAACACTAACGAAAACAAGAAAAAAGAAACTCATATCTTAAGTAAATTTACAATTTTGTGTTGGGCTGTATTTATAGCCGTCCTGGGCCGCATGTGCCCGTAGGCCACGCGTTGGACACCCCCGTTTTAAAGTATTGCATGGGCCCCATAAATAACAGCCTCTATTATGTAATTGAGGGTTACTGGATAGTTAAGAGTGCAGTTTCTAGAGAGTGGGTTTGACCACACATGCTCTATGTCTTTGATTTAGTCATCTAATTCCTCAGTGCCTCGGTTTTCTCAGATTAAAATGGGAATAATAATAGTAAAGTTTATACATTTATAAATACTTCAGACAATAAACTTTGTCATCACTTTCAGCATAATTGTACATTTCAGAACCAAACTTATAATCAGTATATGATAATCAGCTAATATATCTTGTATTTTAAAGAACTGCATGTTTATGGTAGAAAAATTGAAATATAGAAAACTAAAAAGTAGAAAACTCTAAAGTACTGTTACGTCCACTACCTGAGTTATATCCCTTCAGACCCTTTTGTGTGTGTGTACATGTGGCTATTCATATATGAATATATTTTTTGATAACAAATACAATCTCCTGGTGTATACATGTATAATTGTTCTGTAACTTTTTTGCTTAACATTTTATGAATCTTTCTGTGTCTGTATTATCAGTCTGTAATAGTTTAATAACTGAGTATTTCATTTTATGGATCTAGATAATCTGACCAATTTATTTTTATTAGACATTAGTCCTCCATGCCACCATTAGTATCAATAACTCTTCAGTGACTATCCACCTGTGTGCATCTCTGCTCTGTATATACTTATGAGCTTTTTTCCCTTGGAAGTTTCTAGAAGTGGATTTGCAGG